GGAACATTTGATACGTACCATAAAATGAACCCATCGATATCATTATAGAAGGCAATGAGAAGGTAAAAGAGAAAACCACGACATTCCTACTATGCTATAGGTAGGTACTATGTATCTACCTACTACAACATCTAGGTACCTAACCGAATTGCACATACTCAGTAAAGATACATACATGTTAAAACTATTTGAAATTAAACGACCAGATTGTACTTAATAAGTAACCTGTCTAAATATTTGGTCTTTAAAATAAACTGAACAGAACACTGGCCGTGCGAAATTATAAAAATAAACGCAGACTTTCAAGGAAAAGAATGTGCTATAGGTAGATTAAAAACTTTATCGGAATTTAGGTATTTGACATTTAAAATTATGTACCTATATTTTACTTTTGTATTGTAAACAATAAATATTAGGTCCTATATAAAATTAACCACATCTTCAAGTGTCCTGAGAAGTAATCCGTCACTATTACCAGTATAGATTATAATATAAACATAAATTAAAAAGGCTATTTATTGTTACATGGAATATTTATATTTTTATAAGATATTTAGTACTTAGTCATTTATATGTGGAATTTTTTTATAACTATGCATTAATAGCTACATATTTAAAAATCCAGTAGCATTCATAAATTACATACATTACACGTTGAAGGGGCGGGAGGAAGTCGAAGATGTATGGCAAGAGCGAGAGGGGTCATAAATTTCGTGGAGTCACTTTTCAATCTATATAAATAAATAAAATTGAAGTGTGTGTTTGTAATTTCAAATAAACAGTTTTTGATTAAGAGCATATGAGGTATTGCCGTTTCGGAGATTAGCAAGAAAGAACACGTGTACAAACGCACATACATCTCTAAAATAAATATAAAAAATTGTCTGTCTGTCTGTTTTCTTCTTTCTTGGTAATCTCTGAAACAGCTAGACTAATTTTGACGGGACTTTCATTCGCAGATAGCTAATATTATAAATGGTAATTTAGGCGACTTTCAGTTTAGAAATTTTAATAAAATTTTATATTTATTATAGAAATTTTAATAAATAATTCCACGCGAATAATAGCTATTATGTAAAAACACGACTTATGAACTAATCATTAACCAAAACACAAAAATATATCAGTATAAACGTAACCCTTGTTGTAATTGTTTATTATATTTATATACTCTTTATTGCACCAAAAGTATATTACAAAGAACATAAATAGATAGTAAGTAAAAAAGCACAAAAGGCGGTCTTAATGCAGCGCAATAAGTGATCTCTTCCAGACAACCTTTGGGTAGAGTAGAGAAGATAGAAGGTGGTAGATGACGCAAGAATGGTCTAGAGAAATAAAAAAGGCATAGCAATAATAAAAACTAAATAATAATAAATTACATATACTACTTACTTATATATACAATACATTTTACATATATACTAATACACACGTATACATACATATTATATATAAATAGACAATACACAAGAGTTTTAAGTCCCAAGTAATTACTTGCGTATAACATAATTATGTCACACGCAATTTGGAGAAGAAAGCTGAGTAGATGAAAGATGGCAGAATAAGAAAAGTTTAATCGGAGGGATAGTGACATTTAACAGAGTTCTTGAAAACGGATAGTGATGGTGCGCTACGAATAGAGAATGGAAGTGAGTTCCACAAACGAACAGCTAGTAGAGAAAAGGATTTAGCATAGAACGAGGATGTATGGGTAGAGGTTTTTTGACTGAGGGTTGTGCAGTGCTACAAACCTCATGACTTAGCCTATGACTTTGTGCCTTACCGAGAAATAAGAATCTTTCTTTTAGGGTTGTACGGAGTAGTGGGATTAAAAAGAATAGAGTAGAGAAGAGAAAGAATATGCCAATCACGGCGAAGGCGAATAGGGAGCCACTTACAGAGCCAACGGTAATGAGAAATGTGGTCATATTTACGAAGTCGAAATATGAACCGGATACAAATATTTTGAAGAAGCTCAAGTTTGTTTAATTGGTCTTCGGTGACGTCTAGATAGCATGTGTCGGCGTATGTGTATTGTTTTTTTGACAAATTTACACTCCGTACTACTTAGTATAAAATTGCAAAATTTGCAAAAATGAACGTCACATTACGAGAGTCTCAGGTATTAGAAATTATTAAATTCTTGTGACGTCATTTATGAATGGCCTATATATATATATATAGACGATATGCCAGGGTGGATATTTCGCTGCCGAATGCCGAATTCGGCAGCGGGAGACTGACAGTAAGTACTTCTGCAAGGAAGTTAACTTATCTCGCGGTAGGAGGCGGCGTAGAGGGAGTGGGAATATGTTGCTTCCGCTTCACTAATCCGCCACTGAGGAAGAGCCTAGAAGAAGGGGCGTTCCCCACCTCTATCTCCCTCTGGGGCTGGGGTGTTAGCTTTGAGAGGCAAAGCCACAAACAAATGGGTCTTCTAAAAATGAGGAGGGCTAAATAGGTTGCCCTTACAATGAGTTGGACCCGTCTTATACCATCTATAGGGCGTGCTAACGCCGCTGGAGCCGTGGTAGTAATGCTAACATGACCTCATGACCTCGTGACTCCGGCAATGGCGCTTATCATATCAAGTAGTTCCAGCACGTTATTTTTTCACTAATGAAGCTAGTAGGTATTAAACACCATTTCTTAACCATCTCAGAAGATTTAGACCGGGAGGAAATTGATCACCATGGCATAGTTTGCCGTATATAAAGGTATACATAGGCTACCACGAAGATCTTAGAATAGGAGCATGAAATTAGGTTAGTTAATAAATGCCTAATCAAACAATTATTTCGTTAGTTTTAGGTTATCTACTTTTCATGGATAATAAACTAGAATGGTGGACCATCCTGCGCTAACGGTTTACACAGGCGTGGCGCCATTTAGGGTTGAAAAGTTGACCATGAGGTCAGTTAATCCATCGTGGTAAATTCACCAGGATTTTTTTAAGATGGTTACCAGGGAGAACCGCATGGAGGTCAACATAACATGGAACCATGCTAGCAATAGCGTTATTTATCCATATTACTAACAACAGATACTATCGCGGTATTTTCTGTAGACTCTGTAGAGTCCCGCCCTACGTCATCCACCTCGTCGAAATATTTGCCAAAAGTAAGAATTGCTCTTATTTATTATATTACTCTTGTAATTATCACTTGTCATCCAGCATGCATCAGCGCCAATCATTTTCCGTTCTCTACGAACGTATCCACGAGGAGGAACAAAACAACTTCTTCTTTTTCTTTTTCTTGTATACATCAATGATCTTCCTAATTATATAAAAGAACAATGTGTATTATTTGCTGATGATGTATCACTAATAATATCTCATCGTAATAAAATTTTCAATTACGAAGACCAAATTAATTCCTGCCTTAAAAAAGTAGGTGATTGGCTAGAAATAAATAACCTAAATATAAATATATCAAAAACAAAATTTATTCAATTTGCTAATTATAAAACATTAATTAAAACAATACCAGTAAAGTATAACGACCAATTAATAAGAAGAAGAAGAAGTTGACTCAATAAAATTTTTAGGACTTACATTAGACATGCACTGCAATTGGAAAGATCATATCAATAATATATGTACCAAAATTAATAAATTTATATATGCACTTAAACGATTAAGAAATACTGCAAATGTTAATACCGCCCTCACCGCGTACCACGGTTATGTCGGATCTTTACTTAAATATGGTATATTTTTGTGGGGTAATTCAACATTTGTTAACAAAGCATTAATTGCACAAAAAAAATGTTTACGTGCAATCTAGGATCCTAGGATGTCTTGCAGGCAGTATTTCCGGAATATTCCGGATAAACTTCTCACAGTGACTTCTCTGTATATCATGGAGATCGGTGTATTCGTTAAAAACATCCACTTTTGTTCCAAAAGATTACAGCATTCTTAAGATTTAATAGACGTTATCCAACAAAATTAGTTATTCCTTCATGTAAAACTTCTTTTCATCAAAAAAGTTGCTATTTAATGGCTATAAAAATATAATCAAAACCCCGTCACTTTAAAGAATTGACCATAAATTCTTTTAAATACCAATTCCGAAATTGGCTAATTGACAATTGTTTTTATATCGTAAATGAATTTTTCGCTAAAAGCTAGGAGTTATACTATATTTAGAATTATTAGATAATAAAATTAATAGTATTGTTTGATATATTTGAATAATATTGATTGACACCTATCTAAAATAAGTGTAACGTATCTATCTATATTTGACATATAATACAATTTTTAAATGTAAATTCATTAATTCTATTGTATAATTTGTATATTACTAAAATTTTTGCATGCCAAAACAATAAATTGTCCACATATTTCGCATATGTGGACAATTTTATTAATACTGACATTCTTTTAATATTTATACCATATTTCATGCAAATAAATACATTTCATTTCATTTCAATGGGCAAAGTCGTAGTAGACGTTACCTGACTCACACTACACGGTGACCTAAATGACCTAACTTTTTCCCATGTGGCACTGGTGAACCGTGTTTAGTATTGGAGCATCCGCATGCACTAGGTATCTATTCTATTCTATCTATATTTATTCATACAAAAAAAAACAAGAAATACACTAGCAAACTGATTGAAAGGGACTAAAAGTGTTTTGAAGTGATGTGAATTTCAGCTATTATTATTTGTAAAAAAATAATTTAAAATTTCAAGTACGGTAAATAGTATATTTAACGTGACTCGCTTTCTGTCGTCCTGATGATGAAGACTGGTCATCATCATCTGCTTCTTTCTTCCTTATCCCAATTATTTGGTGTCGGCGTAATATGTTTTTCTCTTCCATTCATTCCTGTTCGCAGTCATCGCGTTATTAACTTCCTTTCTTACCATATCATCTTTCACACAGTCCATCCATCTCTTTTTCCACCTTCCTCTGCCCTTATTATTGGGATTTTATTTATGTAGAGGGCAAATAAGGAAACACCATTTTATTTTCAGGATCCCACAGTCGATATCCTGATCCAGAATAACCTACCATAATCATAAGTCTTGCTCTGGCTTCTAATTTATTCGGTTTTGGTAAAGTTACTCGCCAAGCCTTTGATCCGAAAACTTTCATTTTAACAATGTTATTGGATCCATACCAAATGGAAGCTGGTGTATTATATTGTAACACTCTACTCGGACATCTATTTAGTTCATATGCAGAACAACAAACAGCTTCTCCCCATAATTCTTTTGGTAAATTAGTTTCTGCAAATTTGGTTCGTGTTTTGTTTAATAATGATCTATTCATTCTTTCACTAGTTCCGTTTTGCATTGGAGTGTATGGTGAAGTATATTGTAGTACAATACCTTTTTGCCGACAGTAGTTTTTGAATCGAGATGATGTAAATTCTCCACCATTATCTAGTCTTAATTTCTTCGTTTTAAAACCTAATTGTGTCTTTACATATTTAATATATTGTATTAAATTTTCTTCCGCTTCATTCTTTTGTTTTAATAATTTTACTGTAACAAAATGAGAATAGTCATCAACAATTACCTGAAAATATTTTTCTCCATTAATATTTGCTGGTCCAATAGGTCCACAAATATCGGAATGAATCAAATCACCAATTCCTTTTGAATAACTTTTTGTTTCATGAAATACTCTTCTGGTACTCTTACCTTCAGTACAGCTGTCACATACTTTATTGGATAACGGGAGCCCTAAAATTCTTAAACCTTTTCTATTCAAATGACCTAATCGCCTATGCCATAATGAGGCAATCTTGTCATCTCTTTCACTCAACATACATTTATTTACACATATATCAAAATTTATTATATATAAACGTGACTTTAATTGACCTGTAATTACCTTTTCTCCGTTATATATTGATACAAAATCTTCATGAAATTTTATTTCTAATTTCTTAGATAAAAGCTGTCTAACTGACAATAAATTATATGACAAATTCTCTACTATTAAACATTGAATCGTAATATTTTCATTTTGACAACTGACATTTATTTTACCTTTTTCTTTACTTGTTAAATATTGGCCATTTGCAACATAAATCTTTATTTCTTCAATTTCCCTAATATCGTACATGAAACCTCTATAAGAAGATTTTATCAAATGTTCAGTCGCTCCTGAATCTATAATAAATTTTATTGTATTATTGTTACTATTTTCACCATATGTTACCTGTTCCTTCTCACCGAAAGCTGTAAATAGCCACTGTTCTGTCATGTTATCTTCATCCATAGCACATGTTGCTCTGTTAGAGGTGTACTTTTCTCGTCCTCTCATCATTGATCTTTCTTGCCATGGTCTTCCTCGCCCCCTCATATTAATTCGAGCTGCTCCGTGCCAGGATCGACCTCGTCCTTGTCCATACCTTTGTATGTCTTCTTTATTATACTGTTCTTGTTGATTTTTCTTACATTGAAATGACTTATGACCTCTTTTTCCACATGTATAGCAGCAGAAGATTTGTTCTGTAAGTATATCTGTCTGTTCTTTAGTTTTGTACTTAATTTCTGCATCTAGTAATCTTGCTTTGACGAAATCTATGTTTATTTTATTTTCTAATGACATTGTTTCTATTGAAGTAATAATTGTATCATAATTCGAAGGCATAGCGGATAATAGGTAGCATATCGTATCTTCTTCTTGTACAGTACTGCCTATTCCGTTTAGTTCTGTTATTAATCTATCGAATGTCATGAAGAAATCTTGCAATTTTGTATCTGATGTACATTTTAATGTGATAAGTTTTCTTTTTAAGTGTAATTATTAAAAATACTTTTCCTTTCAAATTGTCTTTCCAAAGCGGTAATCATTTCTAATGCCGTACTACAGTTTCTTATAATTTCTAAATATTTATCGGATATACACTGCACGATTAAAAATTTTGCTGTATTGTTACTCTTTTTAAAATATTTGTCATTCTCACCATTATAATTTTTGTCAATTGTATGAATAACTTCTTTTTCTTCTAAAAGCATCATTAGTCTGAATTTCCAATCGACGAATGAATCGCCTTCCCGCAGGATCGGCAACAGTTTTTCCATTTTATCTCAATTTAATTATTTTATTATATTTACTTTTATTTCACTTTTATTTCATCATAATTTGTGGGCTGCGCAGTGGAAGCGTGCTATTGGGATTTTATTTATGTAGAGGGCAAATAAGGAAACACCATTTTATTCACAGTCGTCTTTTTTTTATTAATATGTTTTCTCTTTTTATATACAAATAATTATGTCAATATATCAAAGGAGTTTTATGTCCAACACTTATAACCATACACATTCATACGTAATACCTTCCTTAAAATATTATCCTCATCCTACGCATTACATATCCATACCACGATAGACGATTACTCTTCAACCTCTCTGACACCGGCGCCACTTTCATATTTCCTCTAATGTATTCATTCTTTATCTTATCTATTCTTGTCACACCACACATCCACCTCAACATTTGTATTTCAGGTGCATGCAGTCGTCTTTCATCCATCGTCTTTACGGGCCAGCACTCTGATCCATACAAGACAGCAGATCGGATCATGGTCTTGTAAATTTTTTCCTTAAGCTTAAGGGAAACACGCGAGTCGCACGTCGTTGCCGTAACCAGCCGCCACTACATCCATCCCGCGTTAATTCTGTGCTTTATGGTCCTGTCTAATTCACCATTGCTTTGAAGGAGAGAACCGGAAATCGGAGCAAATCGGTAATGGAGCTCCATTTAGTGATATGGCTGCAGAGCCGGAAAGACCGCCAAAATCACAAAACATGTATTCCGTTTTGGAATCACTAATTTTTAAGCCCCCGCTTTCCAGCTTTTGCTGCCACATCACCAATCTACTCTGTATCTCAGCTCCCACCTCACCAACGAGCACAATGTCATCTGCAAATAGCATGCACCAGGGTGCCTCTTCTTGTATCTGCGACGTAAAGGCAATCATTATCAATAAAAAGAGGTACGGGCTTAAAGCCGATCCCTGATGCAAGCCTACAGCCACACTGAACTCGCTGGTGTTTCTAGCGGCCGACCGAACATATGTACGAGGTTGACTGTACATGGCACGAATTAACTCCACTTCACTGGCACTCCTCTATCTTTCAAGGCCCACCACAAAACCGGTCGGGGTACTTTATCGTGCGCCTTTTCCAGGTCGACAAACACCATGTGCAAGTTCTTGTGAGCACGTCTGTATTTTTCGCACAACTGACGTAGTGAAAATATGGCATCTGTGATATTTCGGTCTGGCATAAATCCAAACTGGTTTTAGGTGATATCCATCTCTTCACGCAATCGTTTCTCTATCACTTTCTCCCATACTTTCATACTATGCGATATTAGCTTTATTCCCCGATAATTATTGCAATCCTGTAGAACACCCTTATTCTTAAAAATAGGCATTAGTTAACTATTGCACAATTCCTCAGGGATCGCCACTTCTTGCAATAATTTATTAAAGAATAAAGCCAGCCACCACCTGCAGCCCTCTTCTCCTAATAATTTCCATACTTCTACTGGTATACTATCTGGCCCGACAGCTTTCCCATTTTTTATACTTTTCACTGCTTTTCTTACTTCATCCATACTAATCTCATTCACTACACCAATGTTTACCGAGACATCTTTTAGAGCATCATCCCACACATTTTCTTCATTCAGAAGTTTATTGAAATATCCCTTCCAACGGGCTTTTATGTCGTCATCTTTGAACAAAATTTGTCCTGTTTCATCTTTTATACATTTATATGCTTGATATCTTTTGCTCTTTATTCTCTCATTTTTGTTATCCGGTATAATTCTTTTTGACCACTAGGATCATCAAGTAACCTGTATATTTAATCTAGGGCTCTTGTTCTGGCTATTGAAACTACTTTTTTTGCTTCTTTTTAATTTTTTTATAGATTATCTTTTTCTCTTCTTTCAGACATTCATTCGCTGTAGGTACCTTTTGCGAATCTTTAAAAGCATTCCTCTTTTCTATTCTCTATTTTATTTTATTTTCTATTATACTCTTTCCCTTAATTTCTCCAAAGACCCCTTTTGCTACCATTCTTATGCAAAGTGCTATTTCATCCCAACATTCATTTACTTTGTCTATTTGTATCGCATGGTGGCCACTTTTATAGGTGATAAGGTGTTCCTCTTTCTTCTTAAACCAAGTGTTTATTTTATTATAGCTAGGTCAAATGCGGAAGCACTTTCCAATAAAGTTTCGCCGTCCTCGTTTCGGCTGCCAATTCCCCTACCCCCATGAACCATATCATAATTTTCATTTTGTACGCCTACATGTCCATTAAAATCACCTCCAACATACAGCTCTTCACTTTCTGGGATACTTATCATCAAGCCATCAAAATATACCCAAAACTTTGCTTTCACATCTGTCTGAGGAGTATACACACTAATGACATTCAGAATCATGCTCTCTACTGTCACTTTCACAGCTATTATTCTAACACTTTACCTTTTTATATTAGTCACACAATTTTTCATTATCTAGCACTATTCCAACTTCATTCCGTTTCCCATCACTTCCTATATAGTAAAACTTATATCCTTCCCCAATCTCATTAGCTTTCGCTCCTTTCCATTTAGTCTCCTATATACACGCCACATTTATTATTCGCCTCTTTAATACCTCCGCTATCTCTCTTCCTCTTCCAGTCATTAAACCTACATTCCAACTAACACACCTCATACATACTTCTCTTAGTTTTTGCTTCTTACGTTGCACCCGCCCGTTATGGTCCAACAACCCTTTTCCATTTTTCTGCTGCTCCTGCGCATCGCCTCGAGAGAGGTCGTACCCTCGAGTCCAATCATCAATCCGTTCACTCAAATTCATATTACAAGAAAATGGTTTTGGCTTCAGTTTTTTATGACCGGCCGCCTGCCTGACGTCAACCCTCCTTGGGCATACTTGTGGGATACAAGTTGTTATGCCTGCTATCTCGGGTTATTTCTTTTCTTGATCATCCCCGGTAGCCTCACCTCACAGTATTCTTCCAGGAGGGCTTGTTTGGTTTGAAATCGGAGTTTTCCTTCTCTTATTTGAACTACCAACCAAGGTTGACGAAGTCCAACTCCCCGGACACAAAAGTTTTGTTTATAGTGGTGGCCCTAATTCACCACTGCCATCCGTCATCATGGAGTTTTGCGCGCTATTTATAAAGGTATACCCCGCCACGGGCTCCCCAGCACCTCTCCGACAGACCGCTGCATTGTCCGCAACTGCTTATTTGTTATTCGCAGCTAACCTCCATATCTGGACGCCGTTCGCTATCCGCAACCTAGGACGCATATGGTGGCAATGAACTTTGCCCCTGGAAATCTTCCCCCAGAACAACACTTGATGATGAAGACTGGTCATATGGTATTATAGGAAGGTCCTAATATAATACAGTGAGGCCTCGGGGCAAACCCTTTTAGTCCTGACGTCATCCTCTTGATTGACTAGTATTTACATTAAATGTTAAAAAAAAACTAAATAAATAAATAGCAGCACTAAAGAAATTACCGTAAAATAAACTGTATTTCGGGAAGGTATTTCATACTTTTTTTTTCTGTCGTACTGTCACTTCATCATTCAAGTTTCTTGTCAAAATTGTCTTTGCCTTGCCTTCGAACTAACTGACAGAACTAAACTGACACTGCTGTCAGTGTATTGTTATTTCATTTCTGATGTTTTAATATTGTAATCAAATTAGTTTAAAAAGAATTTGCTCTATTTATAATAATTAATCTATTCATATCCCTGAGACAGGAAAAATTGAAACAAAAAAATTAACCATAACTTGATCTATTAGTCTCTTGAGTAGTATAGTCTTTGGTTGTAGTTACATTACCGCTTTAAACTTTATTTGTCTATTTAAAAATAAATGTGTGAAAAATAATAAACTATTATTAAACATAGTATAATACAATATAGATATTTATTGTAAATTAATTCTGGCATCGAAATGGACAAATGTCGACTCTGTATGGGAAATAAAAAAAAATTATATTCAATATTCGATACTGATGACGGGGTCTCGTATGCTAATATGACAACATCTATGGCGAATGTGAAGGTAATATTATATTTATTTGTAATAATAAACAATAAGTATTGTAAAAAGAATAGTTGTATAAAGAATTTCTATGCAGATCATGGAAAACGATGGAATCTCGGAAAATATATGCACTCTATGCCGAAAAAAAGTTAAAGACATGTTTGATTTTAAAAAAGTGATAGAGTCGTAAGTATCTGTTTTGTAATCTTATTTATATTTACGAACATTATCATTTTGTATAGATAAAAATTATTTTCTAGATCTGATTTAATCCTACGGACTCATAATAATATAAAGAGAATAAACTTCAGTAACCTCAATGAAATTAAAGTCAAGTTTAAAATTACTAGTATAAAAGACTGTGCGGGAAATTTGGATTCTTTCCCTAAGTATAATAATTACATCATTGGATGCATTAAAAATGGTAATGATACAATTGTTTATAAAGATGTTGTTATAAAAAAAATTGTTACACCAGATAACAATTTTATTCATAGAGAAGAGAAACCCCTGAATGTTTTTGACTTTCTTAATACACTTAAAGATGAACCGTCTTATGATTATGATGATGTGAGTACTAATTATTATAATTAATAGACCATATAAAACTTATTGTTATTGATATTATAATTTTAATTAAGTAAGCTAGTAAACTTTTAAGTATGCCTTATTACTTATACTTAATATATGTAATTGTTATTATGAAGAGCTTTTTATCTGTATGTCACAACCTATAAATTCACAGCTTTTTAATATTTTTTTTACTTTTCACCATTTTTTTGGCTTTGCACTGGTGTATAAAAAGTTTAAACTCATTTCATTCATCTAAATTAATACTTATTACACAGATATTAATAAAAAAATAATTTTTAACTGAACAATTTATTAAATATATATGAAAAATATTTAATATTTAATAGGTATATTTATCTTACAGAATGGTCCTATTGATGCATATAATCAAGAGGATGATGATGATGATATCTTCATGCCCCATATAAAAGGACTTAAAAAGAAAAAACATAAAGTCAAAGGTATAGTCCATACTAATTCCATAATAAGCAACAATTTGAATAATTACAACAATAGAATTACTATAGTAATAAGTAATAAGTAGCACTATAAGTATTATTGTTTCAGTATTAAAAGCAAATATCTGTAACAAGGGTCAATTTGTTAAAGTCCATATAAAGCCTGTATTGTTGGAGGATATTAGATTAATTCGTACAAAATCAAATAGACAAAAAAGAAAATTCCAGTATGATAAGACATTGGCAAGACAAAAAAAAATACAAATGTGCAATTATTGTGGTAAGATGACTACAGCAATAAAATCACACCTATTGATGCATACTGGTGAGTTTTTATAACTTTGTTAACTATAGTTTTTTCCATGTCTTGAGATATTTGGTAACTAAGTAATACAAAATTAAATCTGTGTGAATAATAATTACCATTCTTAACCATAATATAAAACCATAGGTTTAATAATTTAAAGTTTAATCAAACTTAGCAAAAATGTTGAATAAAATATTTTCTTATGCATTTTAAAGATGTTACACAAATAAATAAAATGCTATTGCAAAAATAATATTTCTTATTCATTAAATTTTGACAAAGTTAATCCATAATGTACACACAAAATTAAATAAAAGAACTATGGAATGCAAAAACACATTTTAGCAGTCTGTTAAAACTACTAACTACTACATGATAAATTAAATAAATGTGTTTAATTTTAAGTACTTTTTCTATGTTAGGTGAAAGGATACACAAATGTAATATGTGCAAGAGATCTTTCTTTACTATTAATCATTTGGAATATCATATGAAAATACATCTAACGGAAAATATGTATAAATGTGAGCATTGTTTGGCAAAATTCAATAATAAAGATTCTTTAAAAAGGTTTGTAAGTTCCACTTTATGCTTAGATTGTTTTTATAGGTATTTTAAACTTCAACACAGACTATATATTAGACAAAAAGGACCTTAATTCTCAAATCAATAAAATTTTATTAATTTTAGACCTTCTCACATAAATCTTTTTACAGATTACGGCTCGATCTCTCCCATACTCTGTTATAATGAACCGCTTTACACTATCATACCACAATTATTAATTTATATATCTGTAGAAATTACAAAGTTTAATACAAACTTTCTTCTTCATTTATTTCAGGCACAATGTGGTTCATGATAATGAGAAAAGATTTGTTTGTAATGTCTGTAGTAAAGGATTTAAAAGGGTGTGTATCTTAAGCATGTTATCTAATACTGTTAATAAACATCAGAATATTCATACAGGCAGGCAATTCATCAGGCAAAAAACTATTAACTTGTTCTAGATATTTATTAATATAGATTGTTATATTGTGATTAGAAAGTTACAGTGTGATTAGAATTATTTGCTGCTACTGTTAATAATCATCGCAAATATATATCAATATTTACAATTTGCACAATAGTTAAAGATTATAACCAACAACTTTATCTGCCATGCTTAGTTTTTGTTAAGTAATAATAATAGGGACATATTTTACGTAAAAAAAATATTTTATTTATTACAGAGAAATGCACTAGCAAGACACATTAAAGGGCATAATTCAGCAAACAAAAGCATTCAATGTGAACTATGCAATATGACTTTTTTTTCAAAATATAGTTTAAATAATCATATGCGTGTACATACTAGAGAACGGCCCTATAAATGTGAGGTGATTAAAATTTTTATGTTAATTTTTTTTACCTTTTTAGGCTTCTAATTTTCGTTATATAATCTTAAAAATTTATATTGACAACCGATCAAAAATTTTAAAAATGGTAGTTCACACTAATCATGAATTGGCTGTTTTGAATAAGCCATTGTAGAAAATGTCCTAGTCTTTTTAATATTATGCTTTCCGCAAAGCAAGTGGTCAATTAGATTGGGTGTGTTTCACAACACAAATGAATACTAGTATAATTCCAGTAAACATTTTTTGTTGTATAAATAACTTTATTGTTTGTATAATTAATAATATTATCAATTGACGGCTTCGATGGTCTAGTGGGTTAACACACCGTTTTACTTCTGATGGTCGCAGGTTTGCTCACACAGTACAAACATTTGTATTCATATTTATTTGTAATGTTCTGGATGTTTTCTATGTATATTTCCTATGCGATTATGCATTTACAAAAAAATGTATTTATATCATTTGTTTAATATCCGTAACACAACTAATTAACTTGAGACTAGATGGTGCTGTTTGAATTTCCTGATGTTATTATTATTATAATATAATTACCTGTTTACAGATATGTTCACAACCCTATAGTTATAAACACGATTTCAATCAACACTGTTTGAAAAAACATGGCGTATATTTTAAACGACGATCAGTCTACGTAATGAATGAGGAAGTTTTAAAAAAAGAACGAGAACTAATGAAAGAGTTAATGCTTAGAGTACATGGCGTTGTTGATGACGAAGAACCGTTTAAAGAGTTTCAAGGACCACAGGCACATATGGCTTTAGAACAAATGATTAAACTTTTGCAAACCAAGCAAATCCCAATGGATTTCCATTTTTGAATGGTGTTTTCTAATAATAATAAGATTCATATGATCGGTATTCAAATCTGAGGCAATAATAATAATTCGTAAATGGTAAGAGTATTAAAATTAGAATTCAAAATGTACGTCCTAGTTGCAATTGCGTTCAAATTTCTTATATTTAAATAACGAACTTTAAAAAAATTCCTCACCGTCATCCGGGGTAAGTCACATTTATCATAACAAAATATTATAGCAGTATAGGTGGATAGTAAGATATCCTTCACATTGTCTAAAATTATTTTTCACAGTTTGTTTCAGTTTAATATATTATGTCACAAACTGGTCAATAATATTTTGGTAGGAGGCTTTCATTTTTATCTATTACGACAGCGATTGTGACAAATCTATAATCTCATTCTAAAGCTAACAAATTAGTTATTTATTTGACTGTATACACAATAATACTGACTGTTTACACATAAATAGCACGTCTGCCTGTTAGTTGTCTAGTCATTTTAGGTAAGCTCTGGTTATCGTTATGGGACTGCGTTATGTGTACACTGATTTTTATTTATTTCTTTCATAAATATCTAATACGGAAACCGAACCCTCGCGAGTACGTTCAAATACCGAATGAATAATATCTTGATACAGTCTATCGGAAACTTATTAGGCACATTACTGTATAAACACAACCATGTTGTATGGAAAAGTTGCGTCACGGCTGTGTTTATTTACAGATAAATATGTCAATTCAATGGAATTAAGAAGCCCAAGTGTATGCATCTATAGAATAATAGTCAACGGCCTTTCCCAAGGTCGGAACATATTTATCACTATTACATAAAAATTAATAGATTTCTGTTATTGTAATACAAATTAAGCGAGAATAATAAATTAAATTAAAATTAAATTCTTAGATGATGTAATAATGTAGCAAACAAGATAGCTAAATAAATATTTATTTATGATCATCAAATGGGCCGTTACTTGTTTACTATTCCAGTTACATAGAAATCATAACTGTCATTTCCACTGTGTTACACGTACTTAGGTACCTTTTACAGATTCACTATAATGCAATGTTAAATGTTATTCTTGAACTCTAAAGCCTCCTTACTGTAATACACCGAATAAAGTCATCATAAACACACTATACAAAGAGCATTATAAAAAATCTTAATAAAAAATTTCATAAAATTTTTAAAATTACATAAATTACTCCGTACTCCCTTTATGAATAGTGATCGAGATACTACACATATAGATTATTTATGGTATGTAGATATTTACTAAGAACTTATGTGTTTTAAGAAATTTCGACGAAAATTCAAAGTCACGTTACCGCACGCGAAAAACCCGCGCGTAAATGATATGTACACACTTAGGGACTGTACCAGTGTAACGCTTTTCCTTATTTTTCTGATCCTGATAGCACGACGTAAAGGGTTTTAAGAAAATATTTATTTCGATTCAAATCCAACAGCATTTCATTCACTTTATAATGAATTCCTCTACTAAGAATATATCTTCATATCTACCTATAAAAAGGGGGCCCACCCCAATATCTACAGTAAGTAGGTACAGACCATTGTTTGAGAAAATAAGACCCTTTGTTACTTGCCGCTCATCACATGATACAAAGAGATCGGATTAGTTATATACATACAATAACGACACACCTACCAGGGATTTTATTTCAAGCTAATGGACCTTTTCTTTGATCTATCAATCAATTTCGCCTATATAAGGAGGGGTGGACGTTAACTATGATATTAGTAGTCTTTCGTGATTCGTATCAAGCAGTTATCGTCATGGTAAGTTAATTTACGCAATTATTGATTACATTCCTAAATACTAGTTAATAGTATTATGTAAAAAGTTTAAATATTTTTATAAACACCTATGCTCTTATTTAATTAAGACACCTGAACATACACAAATATCGCTCAGTATAGATTTTATTACCAGCAACTGTACCTATCATTACTACATTATGCTTTCAATACCCCTTTTTATTAGTTCTAATAATAATAATAATACTCTTAACTGTGCATAAATAAAAATAGGCTAAGAAAAGCCGACCTTATCACTCAAAGCAGACAGACAATCTATAGAAAAAATAATATTATTTATATTACTATTTCTAATAATGTTAACGTGGTAATATTTGGTATTAATGTAGGGTACATAAACTTCTGGCAAAAGCTCTGATAAGCTTAGTACTATCAAAAACTAAACTTAAGTACCAAATCAGTTTGGTTAAGAATATCAGTGCAATAAAATGTTTTATTAGTTATATTTAAAGGTCGCATACAAGCAATATCACATACTTATATTTATAACTTAAGTAATATCTATAAATTTGTACGTTCATACGGAATATGATATACCTACAGAGAAAGGTCACAACCCAGTGTAGTAGGATTCACCCGTGAGAACCTAAAACTCCCACGGGAACGAAAAAACAGTAAAGAATGATTAATTTCTATCTGTGTGATGTGCAAAATCATGTGTATATTGATACAAAATATACCTTTAATTTTAATTCCATTATTTGTTTCATATAGTGTTTTTTTTTTCAGATAACGAGATCTTTTTTAATCATTATAGTATGCTATGCATTTTTAATTGAAACATTAATACCAAAAGTGCTGGCAATAGAAAGAGCTGGTATGGATGAGTTTATGACGCGGGATCAAAGAACACGGAAGAGACAAAATTATATGGAGGATTTATCGCCAGATAATGTTTTATACGAAAGTATCGATGACATTGGTCCTTCGTATGATAAAGCGTTCATACCCGATGATACCACTGAAGAGCTGCCATCATTCATTGTAGATTATGCTAATTTGATACGAAATGATATAATTTTATTAGATAAATCTGTTGAAACAAGAACTCGAAAGAGAGGCAATATAAAAGTAGAAAAACATGATGTAAGGACGTTTTTTGCATTCTTAATAAATGTATATCTTCTTTATATTATACTAGCAGACCGGACCACACGTTGCTGTGGCTAAGGTTAAATAATAAAAATGTAAATCAAATTTGCAATCTGTTCAGTAGTTTAGGAGTCCATCGCGGACAAACAGCCTGACAGGTTTTTTGTTATATTTATAGGATAGAAAATTAAGGACTACAAAAAGGTTGTAGGAAAACTCAATTCTTTTTGGTAATAACATGATTTATATCAGCAAATAAAAAGACGTCTATTTCATGTAAAACTAAGCTGCCATGCATAGTTCAATATTGCAAAATGACAAGGTGACGGACTTTTAACATACACTTTTATATGTTACGCTCTTTCGGTTCGAAATTGACTCAATCTAAATAATCAAACGCGGGATCTACGCGAGAAGTGCCTACCACTATTGCGATTCTTCTATTGCGAGAGTGTTTTAAGGAAACAAATATCCTCACCGTTGCTTCTCAATACATTTATGAAAATATCATCTATGCCAGAAGGAATATAGACAGTTTCAAAAGAGTTAGTGATTGCACTAATAAAAGCTTACGTAACAATAACAAACTGATTTTACCTAAATGTCGTTTGGCTAAAGTTAGTAATTCGTTTTATGGCAATTGCGTAAGGTTTTACAATAAAATACCAGAGTCTGTTATAAAACCAGAAAAAAGATTTAAATGTCAAATAAAACAGTTCCTTTGCAAAAAAGCTTACTATAAAATTGAAGAATTCGTTAACGATTCTATAGAAAAACTTTAAATCCATAGCACTGACAATATTATCTGATTACATTAATAATGAGCGCGTAGCGACTTCTATGTTGATTATCGCATGCTTCTTACTTGTTATACTGTAATTATTTATATAAAAAAACATCTATTAACAAGAGCAACACACGAGTTTCTTGCTCATTCTTCTTGTGATGAATCTGCATTCTGAATGAGTGGTAGAATCAAAATATGACTATTCAAAAGTGCTTGTAATGAGTTTATTTGAATAAAGATTATTTCTATTTCTATTACTACGTCAAAGAAATCATTGATTGATAAGAAAACATCACAATAGTTCTAATATATATTTTTTTCTTTTTAGCAAGTAATACCGGAAAGTCCATGTAGCTGTGAACTTAAGGTAAGTAGCTGCTAATTTAATTGTATCTACTTCTAGTCAACCTCTTATTACCCATTAGGGTACCCCCTATCTTAATCTTTACTCTCAACTAGCAAAAGCTGATTTAGTGATGGTGTATATTTGCATATAAATATTGCTTTTACTATCATCTTTGTACTGTACAAAGGTGTTGTTTGCAATAACTTAATTTTTTGTTCTTGAAAATCATATCATACAGACAGCTCTTATTTCGTGTTATCCATAATTATTTAATTAATCATCACACTGTTGAAAATAAACATAATAAAATGTAATGCTCTAGTGTCTCCGCCTAGTCCATAGGGTTTACTTTAGAAGAATAGCAAATATTATACTGATGACATTCTGTCCGTGTTCTGATGTTTATAATAATAAACGTGCCCTTAGTTAATTAGAAGTGATTTATGTATTAATATTATTTAAAAGAATTATGCAATTTTTATATTATTTTTGCAGAATGATACCAAGGATTTGGGAGAAAACACTTATCCACGATACATAGAATATAGAATATGTAGTGACCATATGTGTCGCGATGATTATATTTGTATTCCAAAAGAATATCATGTATGTAATTGTAATTATATAATGCTATACAACATTATACATACGTATTATGTGCTATATTATAAACTTAATTATAACTTTTAAATACTAAATGTATTTTCAGATAACTATTCTTAAAAGACGAACCTCTACCGAACAAAATTCGAAAATAGATCTTCCAAGTGATTTAAAGCACCAATGGATTGCTGAAAAAAGACCCGTCGTTATTGGATGCATGTGTACAAGAGATTACATCATAGAAAAGTAATATTCATAAATGCTGTTCTAACATAATATTGTAGTACATTTATAAACCACGTCAATAAGAATAAACAATTGGGAGATACTAAATATTTTTATTATAATCTACTAATCTTTTTTTGTCTTTATGTTCTGATGGACTTATTATAGATAAGTTTTAGCAGATTTTCAGTCAACAATTTAGAAATAAAATAATAGAAGTTTTTCTTCAAATTACGGATTCATTAATATATATGTGAGTAATTTTTATTCCTCCCATGTTCTCAAAATTAAACAAAGGTATAAAAAACAGATTAGAATTTCTTCTGCCTTAAATGAGGGATATTTAAGAAGTGATAAAGAAAGTCACCGTAATATTTACTTTTTAATACTAATATGGTACAAACTAATATAGATAGAAGTAATATAGTTTAACAAATAATAATAACCAGACATCGCTTGTTTGTGATTTCGCTGTTATTACATTGTGAACTTATTAATATCATAGTAAATAATAGTATTTACAATGAACACGCATATACTTCTAATTTCATAGAACATACCATGCTTTCAAAATAAAAAAATATTTACAAAACAAATTAGAAACTTTAACTATTATTAGTAGTATTTTCTGAAATAACAATAATTTTCGACCATTACACGTTTTAGTTGTAAGCAACCGATATTGTCGATAATGCAGTGTCAATATTAATGTATGAATCCACTAGACTGTGTAATCAGTACTGTGATGCGGTACAGTCTCGTGAGCAGCGGGCGTCGGAGCATCATCCAGTTGGGGCATAATATGAGAAATGGCGACACGGGTCTCATTCACTAACCCCATTTCTCGCCGCAGCACATCTTCCGTGACAGTGTGGATAGATTTAAATTTTAAATTGACACCATGAACTTTTATCACATGATTATTCAAATTCACTTTGTAACTGAACGCTACGTTGCATACCTGTAAAATTAAAAGAATATGTATTGTAAAAAAAAACAATGTAAGTAATTCAACTAACAGTTAAGAATAATCAGTTTATATTAGTAATTACATTTATTATGATTTGATAAGTAAAACGCCACTCGATTATTTGTAAAGAAAAAGCTAAACACACTCACGCACGCGGGTGTGCGTACACCGTTTACGTGCGATGTATTTCTATCAACAAGTTGAGACCTATGTTTAATTTTGCCTCAACTGTATTTATTACACTACTGCCTCAGGCTGTTCAGCTGTTTGTTAGTAATATGTAATCAATATACTGTTGTGGTTAGTTTGCATTGAAAATTATATAACATACACACAGAAATGTAACATTATACAAAACATTAAATACTACTCTACTACCGCAACTACTTTGGAGTTTTGAATACACGAACCTATTGCTTTGTATAAAAAAACACATTTCTGGTCACAGTGGCTACCATAGTTTTATCCTGTCGACTATTATTATCATATCGTCGAACAGAAATTGTTTCTGTTCGTAAATGTTAAGACAAGTTGTCATAAGGTTCACTGACCTTGCAAGAATATGGCTTATCGCCTGTATGAATGATGACATGAGCTCGCAGATGGGTGCCTTGCCTAAACCTTTTACCACAGTGCTCACAAGTGAATCTTCGTTCTCCAGTGTGTATTTGCATATGACAGCGCAATCCATAAGCCTGTAATATAAGGGAAATGTTTAAAGTCTAACAACGCACCTGGCAAGTGTACGGCCGCTCCCCGGTGTGCATTCGCTCGTGGTTTTGCAACTGATGCTTGGCGTTAAATGACATCGTGCAAGTGCCGCACTTGAACGGTTTATAACCAGAGTGTATGCGAAGATGGCGATTGAGATCGCAACGCTGAAAGACATCAATTGCAATTATTTTTATTACAGCGCCATATGAAATTCAATTCAAACACTAAGATAACAATTTCTAGACTGATCAGGAAACAAATCTTAAAACTAAGACATAAAATAAATTGTCATAGCAGAAAGTTTATGTTGTAAACGAAAAAGGCTCGTACCGAAAATGTTCATAAAACGCAAGAAAATATACTCTAATTACATCCTTATCATTATTAGCATCATTATTTATTGCAATAAATAATGATGCCAACTGTCGGAGAAATATTTTATTTTTGTAAATAACTAATCAATTCGCAATAATATGTTGAGTTTATTTTCCTGCCTTAATAAGTGTGAAATAATAGTGTATGTAAAATTAGTTAATCCCAAACAGAATCAGTTCATACTCAATCTCATGATCTAATCAAATCTGCATAATTGCATGTTACACAAATAAAATCTTTAAGGATGAATTAACAAAGATTTATTATAAATATAATGTATTACATTAATTACTTTCATTAATAAACATTTAACTAATAATACAAATTTTTAGTTATTTTCAATTGGATTACTATTATTAAAAGATTACCAATTTGCCACTATAAACAAAGCTTAATAAAAGTTATATATATCTCACAGATTGTACTTACAGCTATAAATTTTTTATTGCAAAGATTGCAGGGGAAAGGCCTCTCTCCTTTATGAATTAGATTATGTCTGCAAAATAATAATGTACATAAGTAAATCATTGTGTTAATATTTCAATGTATTCAATATACCAGACATTGACTATTTACCTAACTAATGACTTCTGGGAATAGAAGCCTGCACCACAAATTTCACAGATGTGATCCTTTACACCTGTATGTTGTTTCATGTGGACTAGCAAATTACCTTTTTGCGCAAATGTTCTGGGGCACTGAGTACATGAATATCTCTTTTTCTCTGAAATGATACACAGAACATGATTAATATTTATTATATAACAAAATATTCGTATTGAACAGAATTGTGGGTGTATATGAAAAACATAAATATATGCATAATATTTCTATGTAGTTACATATTTTGCTTCATCTGTGATTTTACTCACTCATCCAAAACGGAAACAGGCAAAGATGGAGACAGCAAAAACACGCCCGTAACATTATAGTATATCAGTTTACACAAGCAAATAAACATTCTCTTGATCTCAGACATTGTTATATTTTAATACAATATAGGACATGCAAAACTGCTTTGGTACCTTGATGTGTTGATATATGGTTGCCAAGTGTAAAGGTCAATATTCCACAAATAGGGCAAACCATCTTTTCTCTTTGTTTAACTATGGGCTTGGCAGTTCTCACTACTCTAATTGGTTTTTCTCGACGTATTGATTTATTTGTATCATCTGATATGGTATTCCTTACTTTATAATTTGCATGAACTTTTAACACAGTAGCATCTTTTGGTCTCTTTAATAGTATAGGTGGCCCTCTTGAACCATTTTTCATGATTGGATCTAAAAAGAATCATATTTAAAATACCCATTTTTTTTTAGATGTAGTTTTAAACTGTCTTATCAATTTATACTGTATATATTTATTTTATTAACTCTTATCATTAATTTTCAGTCAAAATCTGGCAGCATCAGTATTTTTTTATATATATTATTATCATAAACAATATTTTTTTAATACAAACTGTTAAAATATTTTTGTTCATTCAATCAAATAATTACTTATTTCACATATTTTATACAAATAATTTATGAAGAAATGTTTATTAGTAGGCATACATCCTAAGACAGATATAGTCTCATCTGTGATTAAACAATAACAATGTTTCTTTGTTAGCTAATATGTAGATTTAGAAATCGCACAAGGCATTATACTAAATAACCCATATGCTAAAATATAAATATAGTCACAATTATCAAATAACAATTAATAAATTTTGGGATGTATCTTAGGAGTATAAGTAAACAACCAAATTTTATTAAGATAATAATATTTTGAGAATGACTCATTAATTAAACTTATAACTTACAACATGTTATCATTGTAGTTGACCTTGATTTAGAATCACTGCTAGATTTGTTAATTTTATTAGAATTACTTTCAAATTCATCTCTATAATTTTTTAATACTTTTAATTTTCTCACAATTGACTTTTTCCCTTTGAAAACTTTAATATCAGATAATTTTGGTTTTTTAAATTTATTTTTTTGTTTTTCAGTTGGGGGTACGTAATCAGCGTCATCATCACCATCATCTTGGAAAATATCATCATCTAGGTATTCAACCTGAAATTAAACAAAAGAAATAAATACTTTTATTTCTAAATTATAAATACTGCTTGTTGAACATAACTAACACCATATTCACCTCAATGTAAAGAGGTGACATTAAAGTACATACAACATCATACTATATAATACTTAGTTTTATTAGCCTACATAAACAATATAAAAATATACAATGTAATTTAACTATGTTACAAAAAAAAATATCATAAAATATAAACTTACTAACCTCAAGGTTGTTAGGTTCTGGAGATATTTTTGTTGAACTCCATGTTAAATCTACATAATCAGCTATAATATCAGATTTAGATTCTTCTGTATTTGAGTCTACTTTTCTAATCACTGTGTTTGCTATAACTATGTCCTTGCCATCTATGGTTTCTACCTTCTTCGGAATATTCTCATTATATGTCATATCAACTTCTAATTCCCATTTTGGCTCAGGTTTGACAGCAAGTGGTCCTATTTCACTTTTGATGTCAGTAAAGGAATCAAATGCTATTTTCTTGGTCGGCATTTGAGCACTGACTCTTGCAAGAATCTTTCTAAGCTTTTTGTCTGATCTGAGAAAAGTAATAATTATTGAAACTGTAATTCCAATTATTATTAATGCCAATCAGTAACAATCATGTTACAGTGTGTAGTTGTAAATACCAACTTCCATTACCATTACCAGTAGGGGTCTGATATTGTATAGAAAATTAACACAACAAAAGGTCTTGCTATTCATTTAACCTTAATTCATCTATTATGCCAGACAATTTCCAAATAGTAAACTAAACAATCCAATAATCTAGTAATTTATTTTAAGCAAACTAGCTTAAATAAGTAATTTTTTTTTAATGTTTTTCAATAAGCAAAATTTTTTTATAAACATGGTGATTCTGTGATCACTAAAATTTAAATCAATATATTAAATTCTATGTTTATTATATTATACTATATATTAAACCATAAGTACCTTTCTGCAACAGTTTTAAGCATGTATGCCTTTTCCAATGCAGAACAACATTTATAACAAATTCTTTCTGGTAAACCATCATTTGCTACTACCTGAAAAAATGTAATAAAATATTATATTACATTTATTGTAATACTCAATACAAACCTTTGTCATTATACATTAAATACAATACATTAGAAATTCCATTTCTTTATATTTTTACTTTATATTCTACTTTTTACATTGGGAACTTCATATTTTGTTTTCCTAAAACATATCTAATGCCCAATGACACTTAGTGATAAAACATCTATCTACAATTTCAATCCAAACTTTAATTTATACAAAACCATTAGTTTAAGCCCACCTTCAATAGAGTGTGGGGGTGATTTATTACATTATTCAAATGTGACCAATTTGAATTTAGTTTGGCAGGTAATCCGGAGCTCGGACCATATTAACAACACCACGACGTAGGTACAAAGGAACAAGCACAATTTCAATCATTAGATTAGAGAATATATTTTTTGTATATCTAAACATAATTTAACACAATAAAAGATTTTGTATAAATATTTTACATAATTGCCCAAAAATTTCTACCAAAGGAGTAACTTACCTTTACATCAGCAACTGCTGTTAGCATTTCTGCATAATTTCCTGACAATTTATATTTGAAGAGAGGACAGAGAGGTTTTTTACTTGTCAAACATATACGACATGTTTTGATATCAATACCATCTTGCGGATCTAACATTCTTACAATATTTCAGTGCTGCTATAAAACCAAAAAATATCGAAGTTTGTACTGTCGATTGAATAGTACAAAATCTTTAAAATACACCAAACACCACTAATGTTTAATATACGATTTGGGAACAAATATAATAGATGTTCACCTCACTACGCTGTCATAGACAAAAAGAAAAAACGACGCGACGCGGGCACTGTCTACACGTTTCCGTCCAAAGAGTATAGGATTCGATATACCATTTGATTAAAAATAATTACTCGATCCGCAATCGATTCGTAATTACTCGATGTACAGTTATGCGTGTAATTTAAGATAGGGCAGCAAATGTCAAGCGCTTATATAAAATTGAAAATGGAAACACACTATACTTGATTTAAAAGTAAATGGAAATAAAATAATAAATAAGTATAATGTCATTAAAGCCCAAATTATATATCAACAGGCGAGGGTTCTAATTAGATTAAACACGTGACCATAGGAAGTAAACAGGTGTGCAAAACCGTCAGACCACCGAGGCTGTTCTGATTATAAATTTATTGTTTTTATATTGAACATTAATCAATGATTAGCGGATATTGTTAGATTTTTTTTTTATTATAATAAAATACGTATTCAATTATGGCTTTCTTAAAGTTTATCAAAGACGATGATACCTTGTCACAATCAATTCAGGTTTTAAAGCTTTCTTCTACACTTTTTTAGGTCACATTAGGGTGAAATATTTATATAGACAGAATTCTTTTTTAGCACCTCGTGAAAATTATGGCACATTATATAAATTAAAAGCACAAATAACTAATCAAACTAGAATTACAATCAATACCTATTACTCGATTTTTTTCTGAAAATACAGTAAAAAGTACTTAATTACATATTGTGCTTACCTACACAAACTCCTCCTTTTGATCGCCCGTCCATTTGAAACGGGGATCGAAAATACGATGCCTGCTGAGCCGAGGTTCAAACGCCTAATTGGAAACTCGGCTCAAGCCGTCAATCTAACGTATACGTAAAAAGTTGACCTTCAGCAGCTCCATGCTACCTGTACATGCTGTACTACTAGCTACATATTTATACGTATGTAATGTTGCTGTTGCGAGTACGGTTACATAGCTTGAAGACATGCCCAAAACCTTGATTTTTTTTTAATTCACTTTTAATATTTTTCTTAACTAAAGTTTAACTTAAATCGAAACTGCAGTCAGCCATAGTGATGTAAAATTATTTATTGTTGATATAATCGAGTGTATCAACAGATTTTTATTTATCATTTTTTTATCAATATTATATTTAACATTTATATCATACGTTACATGCTGCGTAGTATATGTAATATTTGAACCACATCGGAACATCAGAACTGATAAATAATATATTTAAAAAAATACTTAGGTACTTATACCGATGATGTATTAATAACAAATGTTATTAATACATCATCATTAACATTAGCCATACAATAGATTGCCACGGTAGACTTCCTTTTGCTCATTTGATTTTTCTGATCTCTAATTAGCTCATTTCATTTTAGCATTTTACTTATCCCTGGAATTTGTTATCTGTGGAATGGAACCATGCACGATCCCAATGAACTGTCAAAAAAATATGTTGGTCGTAGGAAAACAGGGTTGCATTTAACATATTTTTGACCTGTCTCTTTAATTTATTTATTGTTTATTATATGATACTCATGTCTTTTTGAATTATCATACCCTAAAATCTTAATTAGTAGATAAACCCGACGTTTTGAATGTGAAAAAATGATATAATGGCCACTCATGAAAATTGGTTGAGTCGTAGGAAAGGTAAATATTTCTGATATTTTCAATATTTATGTTTTGGAAGTATTAAAAGTGGGCCTATAAATTAAAAAAAATGTTATAGTGTGTAATATTTGATAACTGACCCTTGTTTCAGATAAACACAGTCGAAATTTATATAAATTAGATACAAATAAAAGTAATGAAGAAAATATTAAAGATATCCTAAGGGGATTATATTTGAAGAAACCATTCCATAATGATATATCGCCTACTAAAAAGAATATGCCAACAGAAGTCAAAACTGGGCTGAAAAGTATGCAAAGGAGCAGTACTGAAAGTTACAGCTTGTGTTTGTCCTACTTAAATGCCTTAGTCACACTTTTGTGTAAAGAAGACAGGAATAACTTGGGGTTTACAACTGATGAATTGATGACATGGTGTGTATTGTAATTTTCATCACATATATGTTATTATGGAATATGTAATGCATAATAATAATAGATTGCTTTTAATCTTATTATTATTGGTTACATTTAGAAGTTATACTGAATAACTTATACTAAAAATTACTTAAACCTGATTAACAATTTATCAACAAGCTTCAAAATTCTCAAGGGTTGTACTCAGGTTAACCTATTTTTTAGTGTGTGATTGTCATCATGAAGTTCTGAAGAACTATTGATCACTATTAGTGTAATGAAAATACCCCTGATTATGTTTTAATTATAAACAATAGGGGCATCTTAAATTTTTCACTACACAGTACTTTAGAGTCAAAAGTCAATTATGAGTCCATAAATTTTGTAAACCATTTTACATTCAATATTAAAAGACAGGTTAGTAGGGCATAGTAATATTTATACTGCAATGATGTTACTTACAAGTAACATCATTGCAGTATAAATATTACTATAGAATAACTTGCCTTAAAAATAAGTTTTATTCTAATTACCAATTTTAATTAGGAATATATATATATATATACATATGTATATATTGCAGTACTGTATAAAATACATTAGCATTGCTGTAATAATAATAATAATTTATAATATAAGTTTTAATTCAGACTGTATATATTTTTATTTACATTAATTAAATTATGTACAGATATAAACAAATTATCCATATGACAAATGTCTATAATACACTATAACACTAATTGGAAAAGGCCTTCAAAATTTTTTATTTATCTCTATCCTTAAATATCCTTCTCCATGTGGCACCTGCTATGGCTTTTATGTCATCAAATTATTTCTTTTATGTGAAAGTGTGACTTGTAAACCAATTTATGATAAGTTTTGAAACTCTTTTATTGTATGAAAATAGAAGTAGATTTTAATTTGTTTATTGTTCTTGTGACATCATTTGTATCTGTATTTTTTTTAGTATTTCTATAGGAGAGTTACCAATAAAATAAAGTAAATTAACATATTTGCTGTAAATTTATAGACTGGCAAATCTTAACATTTTTTCTCTTCTTATCTATCATAAGCCTCATGTGTATAATCAGATTGGTTATTAATTAAATAAATAATATTGGGATCTGTCGCCCATCAACATGTTTACCCTTTTAGGCCAAATAAATTATCAATTTTATCTAAAATTGATTGCTGTATTCAAGTCTGTGCTTTCATTCATTATGAGAGGATTAGAATTATTAAGGAGGAAGTAGTAATTATAGTCTACTGATTTGCTCCTTAATAGTTGGGATATGAAAGTACTTATGTACTGCATAATTTCTTTAATATATAGTGCAATTCTTTTAATTTTTAGAGCAATCTCTGCAGAATTGCAGATCATCTATCCATAATATAAGAATAGATTCTTATATTCTGGATAGTTTACCTAGGCACTTATTCAGTAGGACTAAATTAGTATGTAGGTCATACTTTATATGAACTGACATGACTATGCTTTTTATATAATTATTTAATTGTTAATGAATATTTCTGTTATTGTATTGCAGTATCCGTGTAAGTTTGGTAGATGAGTCAATGGTTATAAGGGCAACGGCATTAAGAGTGTTGCGATATTTAATAAAAACAGAGAGTGATGTTGCAACATTTAACAATTTGAAGCTGTCTTATCTTGTTACAAGGTATGTATTTATAAAAAAAGTATCATTGTTAATAACAAGCAATGGAGGATGCTCCTGAAGGCATCATACTGTACAGTATTGATCATTACTTTAAGGAACTTTCATATTAGGACTTTATCAATCTGTATTTACATCACTATATTTCAGGAACTTCTGATGCACAAAACTTTTAAATTTTGTTCTCTATTACTATTAATATCCTAATAATAATTTTATCTAAAAGAATCTAATACTATTAACATTAATTTAACTACACTAAAATACTATGAACTTATAAATGTTATTTTTGTTTGTATAAATACATTTTTTATATTTTTCTTTCTTTCTATCTCTCTTAAAAATTGATATTAAATAATTAAGATATAAATGGCAAAGAATTCAATCAGGCTTTAAGTTAGCCATATACAATTTTGTTTGCAAAACTGTAAATAAATACAATACACTATTTAAAAAAGGTGATAGTGTAAAAATCAATTTTATGGTATGTGCAGGTCCATGGATTTAATGTTGCGTAACGAAGATGAGAGAGCCCAGGCACTTCGTGTAGTCCGTCGTATAATCGCAGTAGTTGGGCCAACTGGACAAGTAGCACAGCAACCTCGCGGCGCTTATATTGATCAAGGTTTACTACGGTGTCTTGCCGCCGTTGCGCGTGCTGGAAGCTCGGGTGACGGTGCTGGTGACAGACTATCTAGACCTGCTGTTGCCACTTTAGCTGAAATATGTATGCATCTATTATTGTTTATATGAAAATGGTACTCTGTGTACGAAAATGTGAGTTGAAAGTAATTTTGTTTCCACAGGTGTGTTAAATCCAGATTTATTTATATCATGCGGGGGAGTAACTGCTGTGACCAGACAACTGGCCGAGTGTGCAACGCCTAGAATGGCTGAGGCATTATGCGGGGTATTATTGCATACGCTTAATGACCCAGCATCTCGAATTTCTGCACGAATCGACTTGACCTTTCTCAGTTCTCCATACTGTGATTTTCATTTTCGGCCTGCAGGAACTGATTCAAATAGGTTTGTATGTTGTATTGAATAGATAAAAGATATTCTATTATACCTTTTATACTTTACCTTTGATTTGTATATTTCTTGGTTGGTTACCACTAACTACGTTTTTATGATAGTGAATATAATTTCTAACACCAAAGCCATAATATTATAAGTCAGAATTTGCTATTCATGATGAGACCCATTGGAAATGTGTTTTTTGTTGTCAATTTGTTTTAGATTAATTATTTAATCCAGCAAAAAATGTAACCGGAATACAGGTAGACTTGAGTAAGTTAATTGGAGTTGGTTATAAAAATACTTTTTCATTTCAATTTAATTATTTATTAATATTTTATTTCCATACAGAGATGAACGCGAAATGCGTTTCACATGTAGTCGATTAGCATTGTTGTGCGTATTACGGAGTTGGCCGGGTTTGCTCCACTTCTGTCACCCTCACAGTTCGGGTGGGCTTCGTGCGCTAGTTGCTGCATTATATCTGCCGCGGCTAGAGGTCCGAGTGAGTATATACATACATAAAAAAGTCCTCTTTATTACTGTTGCCTAATTCACAGTCTTCAATACATTACTTTTAGATTTGTGTTATATTTTAGAATTTTCATATTTCATACAAATTAGTAAAGCAGTGATGACCAAATATAGTATTAGTATTTTGTGTTAGTGTTTTCCTACACTTTGAGATACAGAATAATTAATCCCTGATATACAGTTCCTTGCAAGGCCTTATATTTTATATATGGTTCGAAGCAAAAGTACATAATTATTTTGATAGAATCTCCTCTAGCTAGCGTATCAGGCGTCAATAAGCTATGGTGTACTATCAGAAAGGTCGTATATGTACTTGTTTGACACCATCATGTATAAAAAAAAGTTAAAAGTAATAAGTTTAGGTAATAATAAATTTCTTAAGAATTCTAAATCGCAAAATTGTCTATTTACAGAAAGCTATACTCGATTTGCTCTATGAATTAGTTGGATTGCCACAGCCAGAGTGGACAGATGAAATTTCTGTAGCTTTGGATGCTGTAGATCCATCAGATTTTCAAGTAAGTTGTCTAATTCATAGTATCATTTCTAAACAAATTCTTTAAATAAATAATAAGTGGCTATATCTAAACTAGTTCAAATGTTAAAATTTTTTATATATATATGTACATTTATAGGATTCTTGGCGACTAAACGAGGGTTTTGTTGCTGCTGAAGGGACTGCCATATTACCTCATCTTAGCGCTACTGGACCTGATATAACAGAAATTCACCTAGCTCTATTACTTCAGTGCTTCTTAGAGGTAACTTCTACTTCTTTTATCAATTCAGTAATATAAACTATACGCAAATAAATTTTTATTCTATTATTAATTAACCGTTGTGTAAGTTTTGTAGATTCCTGAAATAAAATTTCATTCGTTTATTCATGATTATGTTTCCATTTACAGGCTGGATTATTAGATGGATTAGCTGAAGTGATAGTTACAAGCGATACATTTATATCAGTTAGGGCGACCGTCCTATTAGGGCAACTACTGCATTTAATACACCTATTTCTACCTCCTCAATTATGTAATATAACTCCTGCACTTCCTTTGCTGATGGCTCAGGCATCGGCAGGCAAACCTCAAGCACTAGCCGCTGTTGCGGCATTGCGCAGACTACATGCCATGCTCGAAGCCCGACCAGCCAGCAGCAGTTTGTTCCTAGACCACATTTTACAGTATTGTAATGGTGCATTTAAAGAAAGAACCGAGGACTCTACTAAAAGTCGAAAAGAGAAAGATAATGCCAATATGGCGAAACCTAAACAAGAGATTACCTTGCAAAAAGAAAGTAGTATAGAATTTTTGAATGAGTCAGATAACGAAAATGAGCCAAAACAAAGACATAGCGTCGGCTCTCGGGCCGATGTCGCGAACAGGAATGTGAGTGCGTTAGTGAAAAGCAAAAGTGTTAGTTCACGGACTAGTGCAGCAGTGAGCAAAGTAACCAAGTCGGCGAAGTTTTTTAATTTGTTCGAAACTGATAGCGACAGTTTAATTCGTTGTTCATTAGTAATGCAGAACAAAGACGGAAATACTTGGGACTGGGAAATAATAAGGACGATATTGAAGGTACGTTATATTATAATATTTATTGTGTTTTGTATAGCTACAGCTGGGGTTGTCTGTTTATTTTTGCTATAGTGAATGGTTAACAGGCTAATGACAAACAATATATTGAAATATTATAAACTTCAATGCATCTCCAAGCTCCACTATCAAGACCTAATTATTCTCAAAATTAGTTAAGGGTGTGATGCATTTATATTATTTTACTTCCAGACTGCCATTCTGTAAAGCATAATAATTAGACCAGTTCATTGTCTAATATTGCATTGATTTACTTATATATTCTAAAATGTCTATTAAAACTATAAAATCCTAATTCTACTATAAATTAAAACACTGTATTAGTGAATACAAGGGTTTATTGCTCAGTTTCTATAAACAAAGTTTCTTCACTTTGATATTCACTTCTTTGATCGATCATTAATTAATTGATCGATAATTTTTTACACCGAGTTACACCGCGTATGTCCTAGGAGAGCGAGAGCGGGCACGTGTTGAACCTGAACGAGAGCGGTCACAAGGCGTGGGCGGCGCGCATCGTGAGCTACCTGAAGCCGTCGTCCAACAAGTACTCGCACGCGGACCTGTCGCCGGCCGGCCACGGACACGCCGCCACCCGCGCCGGCTGCCACCTCGTGCGCCGCCTGCTTGCACATCGCGACGTCAGTATACTCTTTAAATCAATTTAATTAAACATCTGAATCAGGACGACCGACACGCGCGCGAAACTCATGCGACCCATTAAAAATGTTTCTGCGGTCCGCCAAGCATTACTAAAATTGAATTAATTTTTTCGACTTTCTCCCATCGATATGTTGTTATAAAATTAATTATAATAAAATAGTAGTACATACGACGATACTCACTTGTCGACGACTTGTTCACACATGCAATACGAGCCCGCCGCAAAATTGTTTACTTTTTATTATTTTAATTTTTTAATTATTTATAAAGTTTTGTAAATTATTTATAACCTTCTACTTTAATCTCTATGTGCGGCCGGCTAAAAAAATTTTCAACACTAGCACGTTGATGAAAAAGGTTGATCCCCGATCATCTCAAATCTAAATATTATATGCCAAACAAGTTTATTCACATCCGAAATTAGCCATCGTATATCTATCACAATGTATTACTATACCATTAAAAACCAATTACAATTAAAAAAATATATCCTGAAAGCTAAAACAAACCATACCATTCCAGTTAAAATTAATTAAAATGGGGTCCGCATTGGCATAGATATATTGTATCAAACAAAAAAATATAATTGAATTTTTAAGCTTTTCCTTTTTGAAGTTGTTTAAAAATAAACTAACGTTATTTCTTAACAGGCTGATTCTCAGAAGTTATTGGAAGACTTGTTTATGGACGTAAGCCGCCAGATAGAGGCAATAGAGACTGGAACGAAAGCTCACGGCTGCTTGTTTAGCCCGCAACATATGTGCAATACAATGTGCCAAATGTATTTTCTATTCATTGGACAACTTTGCCACTCACCTAATGGACTCCGTTTATTTAAACAGACGAGATTATATGAAAAGTAAGTACATATAATTCAATGTAGTAGATTTTGTACAAAGTTCTAATACGTGAGTATCTCTGTTTCACTTATTTTCACCGCGAAACAGCTTACATTATTTGTTATGTTTCAATTGAAGGTTGAATTAAGCCAGTAAAATTACAGGGTATGGAGGCTTATCATCTTAGTCTAAGATATAAGATAGCCTATGTCTGTCCTCAAAATATAACTTTATTCTCATCTAATTAAGATCGATTCAGTCATTTAGTTGTGAAAAGGTACAGACAACCACTTTTGGTTGTACAGTAAGACAGGGTTAAGTGGGATTTTACTGTACAGTAAAACCCCACTTAAAGCGGGGGATACGTTCCAATATGTTCCACCGCTAAATGGAAAACGAGGCAACCTTAACCTGAAATAATGCGGTTAGGAGAAGATGGGTAGATAATTGGTTAAGTATTTAATTTAATAAACACGAATTCGGGGAATCCCTTTGCTAGACCGAAGCAGCGTTAAGCGAGGTCTTACTGTATATTCTTATTTTACAGTGTATGGATGTATTGTTATGGATAAAGGAACATAAAGCTTTTAATAAAATCTTCAAACGCAATGTATAAGTATGAAAAATTTATGAAATTATTTTTATATTTACAGTCTCCTAGATTTGTCAACTAAGACGCATCACACCTGTTATGTGCAGTTAGTGATATCGAGTCTTGACTACACTTTGGATTCCTACCCACGCGATATTCTTGCCAAAACACTCACGTGCGGAATTCAAGCCTCAAGGTTGTACGCAACACAGTTTCTAAATGTACTCTTACGTGCCTCGCGGAAATCTCGAGAGTTAGTACGAAGAAAGTCCAAGTTAAAGAAAAATATTATTCAGGAACATTTGAAATCTAACAGAGAAGATGTTGATAGTTATGGCGTGGATATGGATACTTGGATATTGCAAATGTTGGTCGGACAGGTGAAAGATGATTATAAGCCCGTAGTGAAATGCGCTCTTGCCATTCTAGAAGAAGCCTACAGTGTGCCTGTGAGTATTTACGATACATATTTTTTTTGTAAATTCAGTACTTTATATTTATAATTTAAGCATGCAAAGTATATTTATAAAGGTATATTTAAATATTTTCCTTGAGGACTCTCCTCAAGGAAAATATTTACTTTATTTACCTTTTACCATGACTTCTTAATAAATAAAATAAAAAAATAATTTGATATACTTTCTGTTCCTGTACACAGACATATTTTGATAAGCTGATAACGATGAAGGAAACGCTCTGTCAAAATTGTCGGTTGGATAAGAATATGGATCCATCAACGTACGACTTCTCAGCTGTCGGCGACAGAGGCTACCTACTGTGGCTCGGGCTGGAAGTGGCGGCTGCCTCGCATACATCCGATCCTAAATCGATGACGTTTCTGAAGAAACATCTGGAATTTTGGACAAAATCATATAATTATAGGTAATAAGTTAAAATTAACTTAGTTTTTGATGCGCCCTTATTATTACAAGGGCGTAACAAAAACGAACGTCTTTCTTCGTACGTCATCATTGCCTTGCCTTTATGCCATTATTTGGGGTCGGCGCAGTATGTCATTCTCTTCCACTGCTCTCTATCGGTCGTCATATCTAAACATACTCTTCTTTTATTCATATCATCTTTCACACAATCCATCCATCTTTTCTTAGGGCGTCCCCTCCCTTTACATTCATCCACATTCATATTATACACTTTCCATAAGACACGGTCCTCATTCATCCGCATAACATGCCCATACCAGCTCAATCTGTTACCTCGCAACTTTTCTATAACCGGCGCAACTTTCAAACTTCCTCGTATATACACATTCCTTATTTTGTCATTCCTGGTAACCCCAAACATCCATCTTAACATTCGCATTTCTGCCACATGCACACGCCTTTCGTCCATCCCCTTTACGGCCCACCATCAGATCCATACAAAATGACTAATAAACTTTACCCTTTAGTTTCAAGGGCATTCGGGGGTCGCATATCGTTCCCGAGACCTGTCGCCATTTCATCCATCCCGCACTAATTCTGTACCGAGGTACCGAAAATCGGAGCAGACCGGAAGCATTACACCGTTTAGACACAGATAGGCTTGAAACTGGAGAGGCCGCCGAAATCGCAGAATAGGTATTCAGTTTTAGTTCTGCTGATCTTCAAGGCAACACTCTCCAGTTTTTCTTGCCATCTATCTAGTCTACTCTGGACCTCGATTCCATCCTCACCAACAAGCACAATATCGTCGGTAAACAGCATACACCAGGGTACCTCGTCCTGAATGTCCGATGTCAGAGCATCCATTACAATGAGGAAGAGGTAAGAGCCGAACCCTGGTGTAAGCCTACCGCCACACTGAACTTGTCGGAGGCACCTACCGCCGATCAGACGTATGTGTTAGACCGGATGTACATGGCACGTATTAGATCTACATACTTCCCTGGTACACCTTTCTTCTTTAGGGCCCACCACAAAACTAGACGGGGCATTCGGTCGTATGCGTTTTCGAGATCGACAAATACCATGTGCAAATTTTTATTTACACTCCGGTATTTTTCGCACAGCTGGCGTAGTGTAAAAATGGCATCCGTGGTGCCTCGACCAGGCATAACACCGAATTGATTTTGTAAAATATTACACTCCTCTCGCAAGCGTCTCTCTATCATTTTCTCCCACACTTTCATAGTATGTGACATAAGCTTTATTCCTCGATAATTGCTGCAGTCTTGAATATCACCCTTATTCTTGAAGATGCGCCAATATGCTTTGGCACCATTCTTCAGGAATAGTTTCTTCGTGCAACAACTTATTGAAGAATAAAGTGAGCCACTTACATCCATTTTCACCCAATAACTTCTCATACTTCCACTGGTATTCCATCTGGTCCTATGGGTTTACTGCTTTTCATACTTCGCACAGCTTGTTTTACTTCTTCCATTCTTACTTCTCTGATTAAACCCACATTCACTCTTTCCTCTCCTATCGATTTATTCCATGAATTTTCTTCATTCATTAAGTTTTCAAAGTAATTTTTCCATCGGTCTTTTATATCATCTTCTTTCATTAGAACCTTTCCTTTATCATCTTTTATACATTTTACATATACTCCATCGTTTGCATTCTTATCTCTCATTTTTGCTAGTCGGAAGAGCTGCTTTTGGCCTTCGGAAGTATCTAATGAGGCGTAGAGTTTATCTTGGAATTCAGCTCTTGCCTGTTGCAACGGCAAGAGTGTGCCATCTTATTTATGGGGGCGGTCGGTTTTTGTTTTTATTATACTGAACCGTAATTTTTGTATCAAGTACTAGTAGTCTATGTTGTGATATCAGATCCTCACCCGGTAGGACCTTACAGTCTCTGACACAGTTGATTTTATTTCTTCTGACTAAGAAATAATCAATCTGTGTCTTATGGTGTCCACTTGTGTAGGTAATTAAGTGATCCTGTTTCTTTTTAAACCATGTATTGGTGATGGCCAAGTCAAAAGCGGAAGTGTCTCTTGTAATGCCTCTCCTTCGTGGTTGCGATTTCCAAATCTCCAATTTCCATGCACTCTCTTCTAATCCTCATTCAATCTTCCCACATGCCCATTAAAGTCACCCCCTATATAAATATCTTCTGTACTGGCAATGTCCATCATTACAGTATCGAATTCCTCCCAAAACTTTTCTTTCATTCTATCGTCACAACCGGCCTGAGGAGCATAATACTAATACACTAACCACATTAACGATTATGTTCTGTAACATTATTTTTATTGCTATTACTCTATCACTCACTCTTTCTACATTCATAACACTTTGCTTTAAATTACTATCTAACACAATTCCGACTACATTCCACAATTACGATTTCGCATCGTATTCATATTTTCAATACTGCAAAGGTTTTTGGCATAAGTGTTTTACGGCCGGCCGCCTGCCTTACACCAACCCTCCTTGGGAACGCTATTGTTGGTTGTTTAACGCCCACCGTAAAGGCGCCCGTTTGTGCTAGTTATTGCCCCGGGATTTCTTTAAACTCCTTTGTTGTTCTTTATGGTATTCTTTGCCTAAGTTTGATTGGCATGCTAACCCAGTTCTAAGTTTTTTCTTCGCTCCCCGGTTAGCAAAGGAGATTCTTTCTTCGTACGTGTGCACACTAAAGTACATATTTATAAAGTGAAAATATTTTTATTGTCTTTGTAAGAACGTTTGAAATGGGAATAGTTTCAATTTGGCAAATAGAACAAAAATTAAGCAGGAAAACTTAGAATAGACTTTATTTTATTGTCTGTCGACGTTGTGGTGAACGCAACTCTTGATATGTGTACATTTCGCTCGGTATATTTAAATGGACGAAATAAATTGTTAACTTTAAATTGTAAACTTTTTGCCTTTTGTATAGGAAGGTGCAGGTTAGGAGCTGTGTTTCTTGTCACTAAGAACTGACAAGAAACACAGCTCCTAATAGTTCTCGAAAGCACTTCATACAGACAATAGTAGATTTTATATATCATAAGAATCTGTATCATAAAAGACCTACATATGTATGTTTGGTGAAATTATAGATTGGACTTTCCCACCACTTTCTGTTTTTACCTAATGGTTAGCTGTAGACAACGTTATCCATTAATACCTAATGGTTAGCTGTCTGTTAGCGACATACCTTTTAAATTATTTTCTTAAATTTGTCCATTTTTTTTTAATTAATTCTATAGTTGTGTCAAATATCTGTCTTATTTTGCTAGTAGAAAATAAGACAGATCCCATAAATCACCTAAAGGGGGCTACTCGTACTGCTCGTCAATATGTATGTAAAGGATAATTTAGATCGTGCTAATATAGAGATATGCGGTTACGATAGATACGTGCGGCTGGTGGAGACGGGCGTGCACGAGGCGCTGACGCTGAGCGAGGGCGGGTCCCGCAGCGCGGCGCGCGCCCGCCGGCCCGCGCGCCCGCCGCCGCACCTGCACGCCGCGCTCGTCGCGCGCCCCGCCCCCTCCGCCCCCTCCGCCGCCTCCTCCGCTTCCTCCGCCCCCTCCGCCGCCTACTGCCCCTCCTCCTCCGCAGCCGCCGTCTCGTCCGCACCCACCTCTTCCTCCTCCGCCGCGTACTGCCCCTCCTCCTCCGCAGCCGCCGCCTCGTCCGCACCCACCTCTTCCTCCTCCGCCGCGTACTGCCCCTCCTCCTCCGCAGCCGCCGCCTCGTCCGCACCCACCTCTTCCTCCTCCGCCGCCTACTGCCCCTCCTCCTCCGCAGCCGCCGCCTCGTTCGCACCCACCTCTTCCTCTGCCGCCTCCGCGCGGCCCCGCGCCGCGCTGCTCGCGCTCGTGTTGCCCGCACACTACAAGGTACCGAATATACATTTTTTAATCAAATTGCAAATTAATTAAAATATATGTATGTATGACTATATCTGGATTATATTTATGGGTATTTATATAAAATTATAGAGTAAACGCTTCATCTAATTTAATTCTCTAGGAGATAAACAGAATGACATATTTCAGCGCGTGCAGCTTCGTATGCGCGCTGCATATATAATATGTTTATATGCGTATACAGCCATATATGTAATACTATATACAGTAAATTTAAAAGAACAGGATACAAAGTTGGACAATTACGGACTTATCCTAAATGAGGCATTTCTTCCAGTCAACCTTTGAATGACTAAAAGGAATAATGGTGGTGGTGGAAATATATATTATAGCGCGATGATTGATTAATATCTCACCACAGTAGCGTTATATATGATGTGATGAGGTGTCGCTACTTAATTTATTTATTTCCAGTAACTAGGTAGAGAGTAGTACTGGTATAATATTTATTAGTAAGTGTATTTGATAGCGTGCTACATGGCTAATTAATAATGTGCACACTCGACGCGGAGTCGTAACGTGGTATTTAAGTTATTTTCACTGTAAGCTAATAATTTAAATCAACAATGGAAACTATAAAATAAAGATTATCAATTTTCTCAATTCATTACGGCTGATTATCAGTAATCTTAACAACTGAACGAAGTGGGCACGGATCAGTTAGTGGTATTAAAAAATTGGCGCCAGTGAATTCAAAATTTAATGGTACGTAATTGTTCTTAGATATTACAGCGAAAGAAATGCACGAGTGAACAAGAAATCATGGATCTAAAGGCGTCACTATGGGCAGTTGGTAACACAGCAGTAACCGCGCAAGGCCTACAGCAACTTATGAGTCTCTCCAGTGGCTACCTCGAAGATTCTGTGTTGATTCACATTCTACGCCTCGCGAAATACAGTTCTGCGTACTCTGTACGGGCAACAGCATTCTATGTACTAGGTCTTATAGGTAGCACCTATGATGGCGCGAATTTGCTCTCAGAATTAGGTGAGTAACTTATTAATTTCCATGGTTTATTTTCTTCTTACGCCATTACCAGGCTTCTAGAGTTAGAAGTTATAACTGCATATTTCTATAAAATGTAAAGATTTTTTTAATAACTAAAATACTTTTTATGTAATTCAAATCTTTTTACTGTAGCAGTTTGCTCCTAAAAATGTGAGCACTGTTTAGACCAACAGGTATAAATATTGTTTTTTGTCTTATATTGATTGTAATAGGTTTTTTCCCCATTTTGTTGGGTACATTAATTGTACCCCTTTGACTAACGACTATATCTTGAAGAATATATTTTAACAGGTTGGCTTTGCGTGAGACATACAAGGCACGATCAATTCCCTCTTATACCAGACGAAACTTACCAAAGCAAAAATGGCAACACCGGTGGCAGTGAATATTTCGTAACTTCACCCGAGCGCCGGTACAATTACGACAATGAAATAAGTGAACATTCCGACCACACAGATCAAAGTATCGCAGAGAGCTCAAATTCAGATTTTACCAAACATTTGTGCAAAGTTGGATCGTTATTGGCGGAACAGCCAGAGTTAAGCGACCAGGATGTCGTAGATTATAAAATTAACTTTACAATTGATGGGCGGAGAGAACCGGATAAGCGTAAGTCTCACACGCTTCCAACGCAGGGTTGTTCCAGTGTTCTCGACCGACCAATGCTCTCTGAATCGAAAACGATAGATATATTGAGAGATTGTCCCAATTACGAACGTCAAGGTGTTCACCGCACAGAAAATAAACTCATGATAGGAAGAATGAACTCATTAGAACACCATGAAGGTAGAGTTAGAAATACGAGTGAGTCCAGTACTAGCGGGGTGAGCAGTTGTGATTCATTTTTTGTGAAACACGCTATTCCGTAAGTATGCACGATTTTGTTGCATTGCACTATTTGTTGTTAATTATTGATTAATAAAACAATACAAAATTTATTGTTTGTTTCAGCGACAGAGTGTTAACTCTCAGCCCGATTCCGAGCTCTTCAAGTCTTTATGGTATGAAGAGTAACAGTACTTCACAACGTCCCAAAATAACTGAACTACAACGACGCACTTCCGCTTCCAGTAATGCATATTCTCGTATATATTTTTTTTTGTATTGTTCAACGGTTTTCACTTATTAGGACTTGATATAAAGTTAAGATAGCCGCGACTGTCTCGTATCGTATAATCAACATCGGCAGCGGCAGTCTGATGCGTGGGTTCTCGAATTACTAAATGGCACTCCTCTCAAAGACAAGTTAATCATTATTAGAATTAGTAAAATATCTAGGTACATTTTTTTCATTCACCTATATTTATTTTTAAGGATTATTATTGGCCTTGGTAGATAGATCAATGGTATAATGCTGTTATGGCTATCTGAACAAAATTAAATATTTCAGGTTTCACCGGCCCTGATGTAGCGAGTTCACCACCAAGCCAATTGGATATTACAGGATATGCAACATTGAAGTCATTAAATCGCCATAGACGGTACAGTTTTATTGTATTTTTATTTTGACACATATAATAATTAAAGAGCTCTTGAGGGGTTTGTAAACTTTTACCATTGTAGTTGATGTAACATGTACTTACTACATCCACTATAATGGTATACGAAAAAAACATATACAAACCGGAAAAATTTATACAAAACCTTTGCATAAATTTTACCGTAACTGGAATAACAAAGAAGCTGACGGCCCAATAGATTGTATCATTGCACCTCATGTGCGTTGCCATTCAGGACGATTAAGATGTCAGATCTCGGTATCCTGTAATTTTACTGTCTTATCTTACCCTTCAACCGAAACATTACTTACAAAGCAGGTTTCTTGGTAAAGGAAAATAAGTGAGTCGTTGGTACACACATAGAGGTTTATGTTTACAAAGTCTGACAAATGGACAGCTATCTTTTATAGTTCTATTACTATCACCACTAATATAATTGACCTTATAAGGATCAAAATGATAAACAATTTTTAATTTTCTGATACTGCTATATTTCCTAATACTGCTTTCTGTGACTGTGTGTGTGTTACAGAAATGTAAATGAGGAATCCTTGTTGCATTTCGTGACTTTTTTTTACAGACCTCATTTGTCGGAAAGTGCTGCGACAGGTTCTAGTGACCTTGACGATCTAAGTTGGTTACTCAGTGATAGTAATCGGCGATCGAAACCTTTTTCGTCATTACGTGATCGAGCTAAGTCTACTAGGGAGCGCATGAACAAGTTAAGGTAATTCATAGTCAGGTTTTCTTCTTCGATAACAAGCATATTCTAATAATAAATATATGTAATATACATATTCTCATATATCTCTCTCTAATAAGTGAGTGAGTAATTAATAATAATAATAATCCAGGACAATACATGAGAAAAGAAAAAGAACGCATTGCCGAGGGTATGTTTATTTTTACTGAATATCGGTGATTATGATTGTATGATGAATAGTAAGTCTTATATCAATGCGAAGTAACAATTAATTTTTTGAAATTGAATTAACATGTAACATTATTTATTAGAGAGGTATAAAAACGTCAAATCTTTAGGACACCTTAACTTGCGTATAGTATTTTGTAAATGTTCTGTGATGTAAACTAGAATATTAATCATGTAATAAGTCTCATGAAACTTAGCACTAAATTATTATTTTACGGTGTGAAGCATTGAATACTTCCAATAATTTGATTGATGATGTATCGTACAAACCAATTTTGCTCATTTAGAACAAAATGGAAATGAACTTCTAAAAGTACTTAGTTCCAGTATTTTAGCTATAAAAGAGGTGGTAACTTATATTCAGTGTTGGTCTCATTCGTTTTTTTTATTTATCGTAATGGTAGACAAGCTGATGGTATACTTGGTAACTAACGATTAAGCCACTCCTGTAAGTTGTATTTCATTTTCCGCAATCAGATTCATTTGGGCCGTTGTACGTGTAGTAAGCCACTCCTAATCGCACTTTACATCTGGAATACAGATTAAAAAGCAAGTTGCCTGGTGTTTTAATTATGTGAGACTGAAGTACCCACGCGGATGAGTTTTTACAATCTACCTCTGGTATATTTTTATGGTCGATAATGGAATAGGCGGATGCACTAGCATCCGCCTGCGTTAACGATTTACGCTGGCGGGCCACCAGTGGTGATCGATAAGATGAGCAAGAGGTCAGGTCAGTTAGCCAATCGTAAAATCATCAGGAATGTATCACGATGGTTTTCAGGAGGAATCCGAGTGGAGGTCGACCTGACATGGAGTATTGCTAGTCCATATTGCGGTCCACATTACTAACAATTCACTTTCCCCTTTTCTGTGGTGTATTATAAAGTATAGTGTTGATATCGGTCGTATGTAGCCTGTTGGACTACGACTGGCGACCGCTGCGGCCGGGAGAGGCGGCCGAGCCGGACGTGACGGAGGCGGGGCAGGGGGGCGCGGCGGGGGCGGGGGCGGCGGCGGGGGGCGGCCGCGCGCCCCGCGCCCCGCGCCGCCTGCCGCCGCCCGCGCCCGCCTACCTCGGCATCTGTCTGCCCAGGGACCTCATGGACCTATTCCCCAGGTATACGGAGCCATTCGTCTATCTAGTACCGAGCGTCGCGAGCTTCAGTCGTAAGTTATTCCACAGATTTTATTAAATTGATGCGAGAGCGTAGTGGCTCGGCGCTTTACTACCTCGTCGATTTAGACCCGAGATAGCTCGAATTTGGTCGACATAAAAAATAAATATGTATGTAAATTTATATTACTGATAGATTCTTCAGTCAAGAAAACACCGATGACAATAAAACTCCTAAAAGATAGGCAGCGGTAGATTCGCCCCCTCCCTGATAGTTTAGACTCAAATATACGCAGTAAAATGTGAGCATTAACGGACCCACAACGTAGACAATTGACAATGCCTTTTACTATAATAGTTTATAGTTAACCCCTAATTTCCTATTTTTAATTTGACAGAGATGACGAGATCAAAGAAAGTGAAGAATCTGAGTGTAAAAGCACGAGGAGGAATAGAGTGCCGTCATTCCTAGTTGAATCTAGTAATGCCAGTACCGAAAATAAATCTCGAGCGACACCCGATAGTCAAAAGTTAGCTTCTTACAAAGGTAAATTTATTAATATTTGTTTGTTATGTGTGATAGCGGCATAAAAATATAATGCTATTGTTCCTTTTATGTTCGAAAGTCATAAAAGATCAATAGAAGCACAGAATTACTGAATCTAGTCAACATGGCAATAGTAGGCTAATTCATGTATTCAGCAGTGGAACAACAAGCTGTTGCGATGATGATAAACTAAAATTAAAAATAAAGATTAAGTACCAATATAGTTCAAAAAGTTTTTTGAATTGTGTAGTGTAGTTTTTTATAGACACCAAATTATGTACTATATCTAATGTTTATAATTTTTTCTCAGAGAGAAGTATGACTAACAATGTTTGAGTAATCACTAGCCTTCGGCAAGATTAGATGTGTCTTTTGGAAGTTATAAAATATTACCCATTCACAATTAAGCTGCCTACTGCTGGGAATTTATTTTGAGTATTTGAATATCTTTTGATTCTATATGTAACATTTATTTTACCCAGATACAGCAATGATGAGTTTCACCGGTAGTCGTAGTGCTGTAACTCACGCACCCACAGTTGTTAACAACACTACTAGTGCGTTAACAATTACTGCTGATAAATGTACCAAAGATAAAATCGGTCCAAGTACGACAGTAAATGTTGTAGACACAGCCAACATATGTAACATTAACGCAGCTGAGTGCACAGGAAAAACAAGTATAGATTCGGCAGCTATTAATATACTGGAAACTGAAAAAAGAATAGAAGGCGATGGTAGCATAGCAGGCAAATGTCAAGGAACAAGCGAAGATGCGAGTATCGGTACGGGGCGAATTAACCGATGGCGGCATTCCACATCAGACTGCTTAGTATGTGTAAGAACGAGACCACCGTCTTCACACGAGTTACGCGAAGCTTTTTTTGCTGGTAATTTAAAATTCTAAATATATTTTATTATGTTTAATTTTTATTCATTATCCATTAATTACAGCTAACAATAGAGAAATAGTGGAATAAATGTAGAATATGTTATATTTATTCACAAGAGAAACACTTAAATATTACAATTACCAACAATGTTACAAGTAGCGATTTCAATAGAGGATCAAGTTTTACCATAATTTGCTATCTTTGCTTTGACGGGTATACCCTTCATTAAACGATAGCAAATATTATGTATGTTATGTTATGTTTTTCCTTATTTTACTTAAATGCACGGGTGGTTTGTTTGGAATATAGACTACGACTCGCCGATAGGACAGAAATGTTCACATTTTTCGACAGTTCAAAGGCTGTGATGTATGACGAAAATATCTACATATCACGATAATTTGAGTATTTTTGTGATTTAAAATTTATACAGCCATACAATAATAATTTTAAATAAGTTTGATCGTTTCGAATAATTATGTTTTTATATTGTCTTAAATATAATGCCTAAAGTCGTTTTGTGGTATGTAATTTTATTTCTGTTTTTACATTCTCTTGGGTACTCTTATACAGGTATGGATAGCAGCATTGAAATTCGTAGCCCACCCAGCAGTCCGGTGAGCGAGCAGAGTCCATATGCAGATGTCTTACATCACGTCCACTTTATGTCTAATCCTATACATTTAAGACAGGTTAGTATAATTTATTTTTTATACGTTTACGTTGCTATTTCCAAAACAAAAAAAATATTAACAGAAATTCATATCTAGTACATATTGTTTTTTTTGTCAATTTTATATCTGAGCGCCTTGCAGCCAAGCTCTATAATAAAAGAAAGTCGTCTATTTGTTTACTCTTCTAAATCATGCCACGAATTTTAATACGAACTTCATTGTCATTTTAATATTTTTATAGATCTATAATATTAAGTTACCTATAATATATATTATATTAATTGATATTGTGAAAAGGTTTAATTAAGTAATAGTGTTTAAGTAAGTGATAGTTACCAATGTACTCAGGTACTGAGTACATTGGTAACTATTACTGTGGTTTGCCCTTCTGAACTTTTATGACCAATTTTAATTTATGTGTCTTGTATATTCCCTTCATATGAACCTAGACGATTCTTAAGTTATGCTTCCGCGTTTATTATTACCGTTAACACTGTCACTATGTTATTATGATTTATAAAAAATCCACTCAATCATCATAAAAGATATTTTTATATTTCTACAAGTCTAGGAGACCATAGTCTTTTGATTCTACCCTTTTCGGAATGGCACCACTGTTGGCCCATGATGTCCATTGATAACAATCGCCTACCTACAATAAAACCTCACGGACATTGCGTCACCGAGTGACGCCCGTGGTATTTGTTGTGCGTCGCCATTAATTGTTCACTCCAAAACCTGCAATTTCATTCTCGTACCTGCGATGACATACTCCTGTGTTATATAGTTGATTTGGACTAGTTGTACTTTATTTCACATGAAATCAATAGCAACATCCACGCGTGAGCCTCATGACCGTGACTATTATGAGGCTATTCGGTTTAATAATATGATATCACTTACATAACAATATGTAATTATGTATACAATATCTATTGTTTTTCAAAAGCATGTCAGTAGTGCAATGTCGGCACGCAAATAATATTAACATTGTAAAATAAAAGCACAATCACAACAGAGTGATACATTAAAATAGATTATATTATGCCCACTAACAAAACAGACTATAATTATTTTTTATCTAATAAAATAAATTTATATAACCCGATTATTTATTTTTATTACGATTTTATACTGATAATGATGTATGATTCTGGATTAAGTTTGTCTCAATGAGCTGACATATTTGGCTCATTTTATGATCCTCCATTGCCCCGCTTAAACCGTTAGCGCAGCTGGGAACACTATTACAATATCGTATATAAAAAACTATATCAGAAGGCTTATATGACATTGACGGGGTGAAATTTTCTTATTATTTATTTATGTAGATATATTATAAACATTATTAATTAAATCAACAAAACCTAAGATAGTTTAGCTCACACACTGTATGTTTTTCTGCACGTTACTAAAGTACGATGCGATTATCCCGCGACTAATTAAGGTCCCGTGTTCTTTTGAGACGATGAGTGGTGGTAATTCCGGACGTGGTGGTGGTGGTCGAAATGACGCTTAACACAGATGAAAAAATACTACAATATATGTAGTATTTTTTTATCTGTCTGAGAGTTCTTTTTATTTAAAATGTATACGAAGGATTCAATCCAAATAGGATTGAATCCTTCGTATATATTTCATTGTAACATATTCAACTAATAAATGTTGTATCGACAGGCACGGTCAGCTCTGGTGTCGCTGAAGCAGAGACATCCGGAGGTATTCCGCAGCGCATGTGTCTATTCGGATGTGAGCGCACTGCTCTCGGCCGACACATACATGCTCTGCGCTCGACGTTTCCTGCAAGAGCTCTTTCTTGACACCACCTTCGAATGTTTCGCCACTGTGCCCGAACAACTGTTGCAACGCCACCAGATCGAGTCCTAATATCTACCATGTGGTCGCATATTCGACCTCTATGTATAAATAAGGACAGGTAACATATGCGGCGGCATATATCTGTGATCTTGGTACCGTAGTCATAGGACGCGAGACACATGGTCCTACATGAGACGTGTCGCGTACGACGACGTGTCCCATACACTTTTAATGGCGTCCATTAATCATTTTCGCCTAAACGTTAATATTTATAATTTAACAGGAGTTTTAGAATTTGTATATTTTTATTATATAAGATGTAAAACTTGTTTCATTGGCATTTTAATAGTTTTCTTTGAGCGATCGCAAAACATTGAACAGTGTGTATGTAACTTTGAGAAAATATAGGTTAATTATGCAGCGAATTGTGTATATGTGCCTAATTTTTCTATTGATAGAAACAGCCTATTTATAATACAATTCTAAAACTGTTCATGGTACTAAAATTGAAATGTGTTCCAATTTTTGCTCCAATGTTTTAATAAATACGTAACCTGCAGTGGAGTGGCTACTACTTACATTTTTTTATAATATATTGTATATATACAAGTGTATTTTTTTTGTTTTGATAAGTAACAATTAGCATGGACTAAAAGGAAAAACAAAGAACACCAGAATTGTGGCAAAGATTTTTACAAAAGTCCGTGATATCGTTGTGTTGCATTATACTTGTGTATATTATATCATGTGGCCTCTTTTGTATTGTGTCACTGTCAGTCGGAGGTGACCTAGCTAGGTCTAGAGATATATGTATAATATTGAATATTACACATTTGAAATTTATAATGTACGTCATATCTACATACATTATATACAAAGTTCTAATTGATCTGTTTGTTGATAATAATAATTTTGATGGTATGACTTCCTACTAGTGTTTAATCTTCTCAGCTTTTAATATAATTTATGAAATTCGTTTAGTGTGTAAAAAAAGTGTATTGTTAATTATTGAAAATAATTGTATTATAAACGAATTTTCACATGAATTTGAATAACATTAAGCTCTTTAGATATTGCTATTAGCTTAGTTGATAATTTATATTATTTTATAAGATAAGTTATGTAAGTTCTCAAATAACATTTTATCGAATGAATCTTGTCCATTTAACAATTTGTGTGATTTTTAGGATTTCTAATATTGTTCCTTCCTAACAAACTGATTAGTTGTTTTTTATTTGTTACTATCAAATCGCGCATTTACTTATAATTGTAGTTGATTCGAAATAAATATGATTCATAATATTTACCCACGACGACAATAGCTAGCGTATATTGTAACTGACTGAGTATTGCACCATTCCCTCGTGCCCCTATAGTTAATTTAAGTGATGTGTCCTAGTGATGTATCCCACCTATCGCAATCGCAAAATGTTTCCAAATATAGTTTTGGGTAAATGCATGCTACATAGATTTAATACACGATTGTGTTCAATTTATTATACATATTCGCATTTAATTTTATCTTGCTCCTTAGGTCATTGTTATATAAACTCAAACGGATTTAAAAATGTTATTATTTTATGATATTAATAAGCACTAGGTAAATCCTCATACATTGTATAAATATGCAAGACTAAAATATAAGTTAAATTAATTTTCGTTTGACTATTTTAATGTACTTTCTGTCATATACACCAGTATTTCTCGGAACTTAATGACATTCAATTTTATATACATAGGTAATATATTCTCGATATCTGCTTTAAAATATATCCTTTATTGATTTTTAGACATAGATTTTCTCATACTACCTACCACCTACCGTTTATTTCTATTATCTCATCGTATTATTGTTTTCAAGGAGGTTCCGTTGTAAGTAAATGCTAGTCTTATCATACCGTTTTGTATTAACTTGATTTAATGTTAGACCTATCTTATTGCTACATGGCGCAATAAAGACGGGTCTGCTTTAATTTAATATATCATTTCTCAATTTACATAATTATAATTTTGATAATTGAACGTAAATGATTTATGTAATTTGTAAATGATTTATCATTATAGACTGCTTTCAACAGTTAAAAGCAAAATCAATTATAGTGCCATCGTGCTGGTTCCTTATGATAATAATAAAAGTGTTACATTATTATAACAGACTCAATTATGTCACAGTCACTATTCAGTATATTAAAAATATTATTTTATACTGCATTTCAATCTTTTATTTACCTAGAATTTAGAGCTATCCATTGGAAAAACGACTTCAGTGTGCGGGGGTATAGGTGTTAAAATTGAATGTGTTAAAATTAAAATGACTCCAGAAAATTAAAAAAAAAATCAGGTATTTGTATTGTATTATCTGGCAGTTTTGTTAACTTATCATTAGTTAACAAAACTGCCAAGAAAAGTACTATATATTGAATATAATGTATAGTAATTAATCTATATAATCTAATAAATTAATCATAATTTAATAGCGCGTGTAAGGCATCACACTCGAAACATTGTTGTACATGTTGTCTAAGCAAGCCTGCTAAATAAATACTAAATCTAAAAATAACCGAGTTAAATTCAAGGAAATTTAATAATCTACATATTTAAAGATTAGAATTTTATTTGATTCATCAATAAATCATTGAAGTAATGAAACAGCTAATTTATGGGTTATAATTAACATGACGGTTTTAGGTGTGCCTCAGAAATGTTCAAAGGGTTATAAGCTTTCTGTGATGCTAAATGACGAACAAGTGCAATATCATTTATACATGCAAGTCTAGGACACATATTTATTTGTCCATGTAAATTAATATTCTCCAAAATGTTTCTAAATGTACACTTTCTTATAAACGATTTACTCAATATAGCAGATTCAAAAAGACATTTTTCAATTAGTGGTACTAGATTCTTGTCTTGCTGCAGTGATTTTCCTTCTAAAGCATTGGCTAGCAAATGATATACTTTTCTAAAGTCAATATCTTCAGTAAGCGCAGATGTTGGAATTTTTTCAAATTCAGCAATGATACGCAATGCTGTTGCAGTTTCTGTTTCAAGGTCTTTGAAATTAAATGAATCTGATAAAACTTTGGCCCATAAATTTAAAGGGATGCGCGATTTAAACTGGGGTGTCTTCTTTGGCTTTTTGTTTTTAATTGGAAGGGTTGGATGATTTAGTGCTTTCTCTTTATAATAGTCAATAGCTGTCTTCACATCTTCTACAGTTTTATTTGGGAAGTTCAATGATATTTCTTCTAATTTACGTGAACTGTGCATTTTCAAACTTTGTAAAAGAATAAATTTTTCTCGTTTAGTCCAACCTTTAAGAAGAGAATTATGATTGGTTGACTCATGATCACTTGCCATTATCTGGAATTAGGATTAATATAGAGAATTAGCCAAGTTAATATGAATTAGCCAAAATTTATTTGGTTGTTTCCTAGATATTAATTGTAATAAAATAGGCAAAATTAAAATAAAATATAATAGCAACAGGCTATAATACACAGTAACTAAAATTTTAAACAATTTTAAAGGACTCAAATATAGTTTACTATATATATTCAGTTGTCCACTAATACAATCTATTAGCCAACTTGTTTTTTTTGTATAATAATTAGTTACCACTAACGTTAAAGAGTGAAAAAGTAGGGGTAATTAATTATTCACCACCACCAAAACCAAAGTAATGTTAAATTGCTAGCCTACAGAGATTAAGATAAAAGATAACAATGTCAAATATGTTGACAGCTATACATACTTAGGACAAATAATTTGACGACTAACTCTAAAGTATCAGACTGATAAAGAAATTAAAACATCTGTACTAGTCTATGTAATGAACAACAAGAACATCCCTGTAAAGCAAAAGAAAAAAATACATGACACCTGTATTCTTCTCTGTCTAACATATTGTTGCAAAATATGGGTACAAGAAAAAATATGAGTTAAATAAAGGTGTGCCAATATAGCATGGAAAGCGGCATCCTAAATATTAACCTTAAAAGACAAAGTCAAACTTACTAATATTACAAAAGAAATCAAATTAATTTTATCATTAATTTGATTTCTTCTATCAATCTATAATCAATTATTCTGAGTGCACTCTGAATAATATAAAGAACTAAAATGTAAGTGGACAGGACATGCCATGAGAAGTAAGAAGGGAAATGGATTAATGATGATTGATTTGGTATTAAAAAATAACCAACATGGAGAAGTGAAAAAGAAGAAAATGGGTAGTGTTGGACAGAGGAATATGGAGTATATTAGAGGGCCTGCCTTGCCTTGCCTGTGAGGGCAAGCCAATGAACGGAGGCAGTGAAATTGAAATAAACAGAAACAAAATTTGTCTATCAGAATAAAAGTTCTAAATAAATAACAGCATTATGTAGGGCACAGATTTTTTTAGAAGAGAGCCCATATTTGCTTACTTCATTAAGTATACATATAATAATTGAATATAATTTTACGTTGGAAATACAAGTGAATATTTTTAATATATATATTTATATACATTTACAATAATGACAAGCAAAGGTGAAAAAATACTACATAACAATTGATATATGGTTAAGTAAGTAATAAGGATAATTAATTGAATAGTTTTTATATTTTACCTACAACGACAATAATATATAAATATATTTCTTTTTTCTTGACTGTTGTCTTTGGTTATATAGTAATTTAATATATTATGACTGTACTCACTTTCTTAAATTATTCTCATAAAACAAAAACGAATTTCAAGAATAAGTATAATGTGTAGATTTTTTATTTGTATTAATACAGTTAATAACGACTAATAATATTAGTAAATATCAATGTCATTCACAAATTATGATTATATAGGTATGTTTTTTTCTGAAGTTTTCAATATAGTCATATTTTTAATTAGACGAAGTCAACTGACGTTTACTGTGTTGTCAGTATTTGATGAAATAAAAATAGTGTTGTGACAAAGTGAATCATTAAAAAACTCCTGAATTAATGGAATTGCCTCGATTGTCTAGTGAATAGTTAGTGTGCCGAACTGCCGATATCGATTTTATATTTTGAATTTTAGCCGTGCTTTATACATACCAACGAGTTTACGACGATTATGTTCCTATTGTATCTACCTATACTGAATACCGAGTATTTTAAACGTAAAGAAAAAATTGCGTGGAAACTTTTAAGACTGTCCTAATTACAATTCATAATGTAATTGAAACTATAAATTAATAAATAGTAATGTTTATTTATGTGTATATAATATACCATTCCACAAATAGATGTACAAAATATAACAATATATAACATAATATAGTTAGGTAATAAAAATAAAAAACTGCGCTTATTACAAAATTTGTTTTTATTCATCATCAGATAAAAAAATCATTGTCGCTTTCAGTGACATTAATTATAAATCTGTCTAAAAATTGATAATAATTTATCTTTGAAACAGTGTTTCGCTCCACGTTTCTGCGGAGACTTAAATTGTTCACTTTGTATTATTTTAATACATTGTAGACTGAGGTCACACCAATTCCCAAAATGTCAGCTGTTTTCGAAATACATTTGTTTTTTTGGGAGCCTCAATAGGCAATAGTGAAGCAGCTTTCTCAAATACGTATTTGTAGACGTTTTGTATCATAAGTTTTTCGGTAACGTCTTTCTTGGAGACAAGCTTTGGCTTGACGTGCTTGGTTGAGGATCCATATTGTTTGTATGAAACAATATAGTAAATATACAATATACCCAACAATTACCACAAACACAACATGAGGAAAAACTTAACAAAACAGCGTGAGCGCAAAAATAAACATTGGTGCTCTCAGACCAGATATTATATATATATCCATTACGAACAAAATGGCGACAGACGCTCGCGACGTTGATTTGTGTTGGCACTAGTAGCCGCGCGCTTTGTAATAAGCCGTTAAAAAACTGATTGTAGTTACTAGTAACTTATATCAGATATATATTTTATACAATTTTCTTTTGTAGTTTGTAATGATTAACTATTCACGCTCATTGTTCATTCATCTAACTGAGAACTGAACGCATCACTATTACTTTAAATATGGCAACATTATTTTACAATGTGACATTAGCTACTGTATATAGCTTCGTCTAATTAAAAATACGACTATAGTTAATATTGACACTTTTCAACAAAGGTTACCAACAATAAAAATAGTCCGAATACAAATGTAAAAAATGACGTTTTTCTGACTATTATACTCTGTGCAAATGTAAAATTAGTAACTGTACATCATGCTATAGCATGATGTACAGTTACTAATTTTACATTTAACAATAGCTACGTTTAAGGTAATACAGTTATTAATGATTTTATATTTCACAAATGTTGTACTGCCGAAATACTAAGTCGTAAATCACGGCAACTTTTAAGAGTGAAACGAAACGTCAATGTAACTGTTACCCTTACCATGCTGCATCGCACATGCGCTTTAGATGTATAGATGTTGTGAAATAAAATAAATTAATAAATAGTAATGTTTATTTATGCACTTATATAATATACCTATTTATTTATAATTATGAATTCAACCATTCCACAAATCGACTAAACAATTTAATAGCTACTTTAACTATCCTGTCCCAGAAACTATTTTCATCTTGTACATTATCACTAGGCGTTGTTGGGAAGTCATCATCAGTATCAAAATTTTCGATTTGTCGCTTTTCTCTTAATACCAAGTTTTCCGCATTTTTATCTGAAAAAAAAAACAATTAATGATTGAGTTTTTATTTTCAACAAAAAAATCAATTAAAAAATAACAATGTAAATAAAATTTTGAAAACACATTTGTTATATACAATTAATATAGAATATTTTAATTAAAGAATAACTGTTGTTCGTAATTTTTAACAAAAATGTCATAAATATTTGTAATTATTGAGAATACTTGAAATTCTTTATTCAGAAAGAGATATAAAAATTCCAAATTGTAAGATATAATAGTATAGTATAACGTTGTGCATGTGAAACCAAGTGTATAATTTACTAGAATTCCTGCGACATGATAATTACAAAATATCTAGGTAGGTACATCAGCTTTTCTTTAAGTGGCATGTTTAGTAAACAGTCAACGCATAATTAATGTCTAAGATCATAATAAGTACTTAAGTAATTTTAATCTTTCCTCAGGTGGAAAATATGATTTTTATTTAGGGCGACTAGTGGCCTTATTAACAGCATTGTTATGTGACCTCCACGAGGCCCCCCTTGAAATCGGCATGTAAAACGCGGTCAATGCCTGGTTTACCACATTAGGGATGTCCCGCGATCATAAACCACTAGCCAAGGGGGGGAGGGGCATTGTTTCATATTAAACATATTATATATATATGTTATAAATTTAAAAAAATACTCACTCGATATGCTTGTTAAACTATTCGACACCTGTAATGGTAGCAAAAATAAAAATAAGGTTTAGTTAATTTATTAGGGTTGTACAGTGTACGTTATATGACTATATATATAACTGCACTTTCTAAATATAAAAATCCCGAAAAAAAATCAAGAATGTCTTACACTGTTTACAAGACTTAACCGCAGAAGCGAAAAGAGAAGGTAACACAACAGAAACAGCGACTTCGCATTATTTCATAATATTTATAGAATGGTTTATATGTATTGTTATATATATATATATATATATATATATATATATATATATATATATATATATCCAGGTGTATAGGTATATATATAATCCAAATACTTAATATACCTTATACGTAATTAGATCAGAGGGTATAACATTTGACTACTACCAATATATTATCATAGTCTCAGGTAGTGTCAGCCAAGGTGAGAGTAGATATGTATAAGTATCTACTTTCAAGTTGAAGCATCCCTAAGATACACTATAATTTTATTAGGCATCTACTACTAGGTCAGTAGGATTTCTAAATTTATGATTAGATAGTATTGTTTCAAATAAATCTTACATGATATCCCGAACAAGTTGATACTATTATGGTGTAAAGAGTAAACGACAGTACACACAAACTACTCGTCCTCATGTCTGCGATCTCAATGCCCACATTGACTCTCCATGACTGTGAACTTGCATTTTATATGTGGGCGTAGGCTATGCTCGATTGTAGCGGAAAATCATCGTTTGTAATCACAGTGGGTAGGTATTAGTACCTAATCTAATGAATGTAATATGTTAGTTTTTCTTTACAATTTAGAATAGCAAACAACCTTATTAAAATTATGTATGCGTTTCATCCGCATCAATTTCTGAGGAATATGCGTTACTTATGTCACTTCGGCGAATATGTTAAAAATACATATGAATTTGTGTAAACTTGATAATTTATAGTTTGCATAAATATGGGTTGTACAGGAAATATTTACTTAGCTACCTATAACAATTGCAGAAATATGACGAACAGAACAGATACTTATGGTTTTAAAATTAATGATAATGGAATGGTGCTACCATGCATATGCATGCATGGACCCGACTTCAAACTATCTTATCATCCTCCACTGGTAGGCGTAGGCGAGGGCACCATTCTATTATCATCCCTTAAAAAGTTAAGTAGTTTGCATTATTTTAAATTTTTGGAATTTGTATTTTACCTCCAAATATGGCACTTAAATATGCTACTTGGATAGCCACCCACCCCGCGCCTCCACATAAATGCGAGGTTCTACCCCTAGAAGGGGGAATTAGTTAATGCCTAATACGGGGCGAGAGAGACTGCAATAGCATTACTATGGTACATTACTTATGTTCATGTAGCATTATTTGGCAGTCACGGTGGTCCAGCGGTTTGGCACACTGCTTAACTTCCTATGATCGCGAATTTGATTCCTCACAAGGTGTACACATTTGTATTCCTGAATATTATTGTTTGTACAGTACAGTTGGGTTCTGGATATTATCTAACTATAATAGATAGACTAGCCTAGTATATGACTTATAAACACATTAGTATATTTCTGAGTTGTTATTAGGCTGTACACGCTATTCCATTTCCAGGAAATTATAGTCACAAAAATATACTAACAACAGTACTAAATAGTTGTGTGTATAAATTAATGTAGGCATTGATAGTGGGTTATTAGATTCGCAAGATCACAATACAAGACACACCGCCAGTTTGCAGCAGATATAGGTCTAGGCAACCCTTATACATTAGGTATACTGCTACATAGTTATTGTTAACTAAGCCTTTTAGGTATTTTTATTTATTGCGTTTTTACAGCCGTGTGCGACCTTGCCAATTGAGTTGCATGTTTCGCATGAAAGCACGAGTACAATAAGATAGTAGACTGGACACTCAATTGGATAGGCGTGGACATTCTGGGAAAAACGAGTCATCGTGGTCACAGTACGGGTGTCCATTAAATTATTGATACAAAAATAGCCTGAGAATTTATATCCGAATGTACCTATGTAATCAGCGAATCCGCACAGACTTCGGGTGAGATGAACAATATATTGTTCACCTCACCGGAAAAGGTATACCTTTATACCTACATAATTTATAACAGTGCCCATGTGAAAATATTTCCAATTGTAAAATTTGTTTCAGATAGGGAGTTTGGGAGATTACATAAGTATAAAATAACAATATTCACACTACAATCTGTGCACGAATTGCATACTAATATTAATAATATTAGCATGGAATATTCTCTTAGCTGTGGGATTAGGTACCTTAAGTATCTACATAAGAATTAGAGGAACCGGCGTATAACGGAAACTAAACTTCAGAAAATTTTGTTACTTGGTTCAATTTCTATTTGATAACTTTTTAGAATTTTCTTAGATGTTTTTAGTAATAATAAGACGTGTACATAAGATAATTATTAATGTGAAAATGCACTGTTAAATCAACAAGTGTGCAACTCACTGCCTTAATAAATGCAGCACAATAAATAATATTAAATTCTTCTGTTTCAATCAATTTCACTGTGTATACGGGTATTGAAAATAAAAAGAAATATTTCTAATAATCTAAATTGTATTATATTTATTATTTTTTGGATCCGCCAAATCCAGAGAAACCCATTATTTGAGCGAGTTCTGATTGTGCAGGCGTATCGTCAGCATCGTCATTGTCTTGAAGCTTGCGTTTCTTGTCGCGTCGTCTTTCACGGCGTAGTTCCTTGAGTCTTGATTCTTCTTCTGCTGCTTCTCTTAGTCGAGTATCTAATTCATATTCATTTTTCTTTTCTTCTAGTTTCCGTTTATTTAGTGCAAAGCGAGCCTTTACCTGTAATGAAAAAAATATGTATGTAGTAGAAATATAAGATTTTGTTCAATGATCGCATTCGTACGGAACCGATCGCCATTAATGGAGTTCCTCTCGAAGTGTTTCAGGAGTATAATTATCTAGGGCAAACGCTCCAACTAGGTAAAAACAACTGTGAGAGGGAAAAAAGCTGGGCGGCATTTAGGAAACTTCGTCAAGTCCTCTCGTCGTTGCTACCACGTTGTTCTATCCAGTGCGTCATACCCGTTATGGCTTACGGTGCCGAAACGTGGAAAGTGACGATACTGGTCCACCAACTTAAAGTCGCTCAAAGACGAAGAGCTATGGAAAGAGCTATGGTTGGAGTTGTTCTGAGTAGGCTGGTCATATCTGTCGCAGAACCGATGCTCGCTGGAGTAGGCGTGATCTAGAGTGGAGACCGCGAATTGGCAAACGTAATGTACGACGCCCCGCAGCTAGGTGGAGCGACGCATACATAGGATTGCTAGTAGTAACTGGATGAGAGAGGCTGAAGATCGTGCCTTGGGAGAGGCCTATGTCCAGCAGTGGACTGCAGTGGACTGATGATGATGATGAGAAATAGAAATAATCTTTATTCAAATAAACTCAATATTCTTTTTATTGTACCACTCATTTGTAATGCATACTCATAATAAGAAAAAGAGCAAGAATCTTGTATTGCTCCTTTGAATAAATGTAATTTCAAATAAATACACAGTAACAAATAAGAGGCACGTGATAATCAACATAAAAACTGCTACACACTCATTTTTAGTACAATCAGATAATATTGTCAGCTCTATAAATTTTAAGTTTTTTCTACTAAAACATTATTATGATTTACAAAATTTTCAATTTTATAAGTTTTTTTACAAAAATTTGTTTTTAATTAACTTTTTGAGTCTTTTTTCTGGCAGATTTAGAACATACTTTGCTAGTTTATTGCAAAACCTTATGCAGATATGAATTAATAACTTCATTTAAATAGCATTTATATAAAACTAGTTTGTTAGTATTACATTAGCTGTTATTGGTGTAGTAGTATTTTTAAGAAATTGTATACAGAAGATTGTTTGGAAAGTTACATTCGTTCAGTATCATGTCTATATGGCTAAACATTTAATTAAATGAAAACCAGTCAAATGGGAATTTAATATTACAGGTCACCAACAAAGAAAGTAGTTTTACTATAGTTTTTAAATAATAATCACCACAGAGCACATTAAATGGAAGTGAATATCACACACCTTGGAGATATCATACAGTACCAACCAATACCAAACCACAAATAAAACATTTGATATGCTTAAAATAGACTAATCTATTTATACTTACTTGATCTAAGCTACTCCTTTCAATTTTCATAGACATGCCAAGATTTCTTTGATGTTTCTTGCCATTTATATGATCCAAGAAATTAATGGAGTCTTTAACAACACAATCACATACATTGCAGTAGTATCCTCCCGATTGAGAACTTGGTGTATTTTTATTTATGACAACACTCTTTCCCAATTTAGAGTCTAGATCTACTTTGTAATCTCTTTGTTTAAGGAGTTCTCGTTTAACAGGTGGAGCTGTAACAAAAAATATATTATACATTGTATTATTTGTAGACTTCAATTATGTTTTAAATAATATCTTAATTCATGTATGATTATTATAGACACTTATAATAAGTCAAATCTACCATCAGTTCGGAATGTACGTTGCGAGGAACTGACAAGAAACAGCTGTCCTCACTTTTCATTAAAACTTACATTTGCATACAGTTACACACTAACATAAGCTAATAACCAATATCACTTAATAAAAATAAGTCATTCAGAAGTCATAAATAGAACAGATCATGAAAGGTAAATTGCTAAAAAAAGAAATAGATCTTTTTGTATATGTTACATCAATTATTAATCTGTTAAGTTGATAACTACATATTTTTTTGTAATTGTAGAGATTTACATATATTATATGGTGGATCTGCGGTAATCTGGCCCCCCTTGTAATCCGACATGGTCTGTTATTTATTATTGAATATTTTTTTGACAATCTTTGCTAATGCATGATTGAACAAGTCTGAACTTGTCTTGTGCGTACAAGTTCAACATCACCACTGTTGTACTTGACTCGTAAGGTATTGTTTTGATTATGATTAGCTTAGTTAGCTTAGTATGAATTTGACTACTTACATGTGATAAAGATAGTGGTGCAGTATAGCATGTGTTCATTGTTTACTGTTTATTCACACGTATACTTATCAGCACAGAAGCACAAAACACTGACAATTAAAGAAAAATGTGATATTTTAGACCACCTAAATCGTAATGAATCTTTTAATAGTTGACATAGATAATTAAGTATAATTTGTATTTCAGACGGCATATACATACATACAACATCGAATCTTATCACTTGATCTGTAATTTGTCGGATTACAAGATACTCTGTTGTAAAAAATTCTTTAGGCAATTATCTTCCGGAATTTTTTAGGCAGCATTCTATAACCCGTAAAATTCAATTGTCACTGCCATGCAAAACGTTTATCGAATAACCGGGGGTCCCCTGTATTTGCAATTACTAATGCATTTATTAAGAATTACATAGGGGTTGTTATTATTTATGCAACATATATGTATGACTGATAATAAGAAATCAATAGATAACTCTTAATAAAACGTTTTACCTTTTTTCTTAGATCGTTCCTCTTCATCTAGTTCTGCTTGTAATCTTTCAGCTGCGATTTTCTCAAATTCATCCTTGTCCCATTTTCTACGATGGTCATCAGGTCTCATACTCATTTCGGAAATTTAGGTAACTTTTAATAATCTTTTAGAACTATCACCAACAATGGATATTTACAAGAATGATTAAATTTATAGAAAAATAAGTAAATACTTCTTTCTATATAAATTTGTTTTTTACTTTGTTTACAGTACTAAACTTAAAATAGGCAGGCACAGATAGAATAAAAATACAGGGCATTTGGCACCCTACAATGCCACAGATTAGGCAGATTTGACACAGAATTTTTTTTTTAAGTATACCCATAGTTATGGAATACAAATTATCTTTGGTTGAGACAGTGTCGCCAGATGACAATATGATATTCTTGTGAAATTTCATCCAAAGTCGTGACACTATCTGTTTTAAGTCAATATTCATTATGGTAGTTCCTTTAGTTGTGAAAAACACTTAACGGATTGACAAATAAAATGAAAACTCTTCCCCCGTTAATATAAAGTACAATAAGTTCACATTATCGTCACATGTGAAACGATTGGCAACATTGAAAATTTATTGTTGCTAGTTAAATTATCATGTATATTCCCGTAATCTTGGTAATTTATTGTAATGTATACTAAAAATCTTGTAGTTTTCTTGCCAGTGTTATTATTTAAATTTCATCTTACTTATTTGGTGTGTATGCTGTATTATTATAAGTACATTTTCTATACATAATAATTAATTACATTAAATGCCCAATTACAGATATTCATAATTTGAACTACGAACATATAAATAAGAAAGGAAGATTTTATTTGCCATCTATCCACTGCTTTTTCATAGTTTACTAGTTATTATTGCGGTAGAAACACTGACGAAATATTTGGAACTCAATAAAAATAAATAAAACGTAGTAAGTTCCCACTATTTTGATTAAATGTACGTATTAACATTGACTACCGTATTTCAATGTAGATACTACGTACCTACATAAGCATAATGCATAATTTTATAACTAAACAAGCATTTAAAAGGTAGTTATATCAGAGCATAACAAAGCTTAAGCTTCGTAGGAATTTATTCACTGTATAATCAAAATGTGCTGTACTCTGAAACTACAATTCGGAATAATCTTATTTTTCTTGGTTTTCATGTTTATTACATATAAGTAAAATGACCTCCGATCGATTAAAAAAACTTATATTTTTTGTGAAAGATTTTTAAAATACCTATTAACATTGAGTTAGTGATGGGGGGGGGGGGGGCAAGTCACGGCCGTTAAGCGTCGCGTTGGTGGCACGCTCTTTCTATGACTCTACTCTTGTATAGACTCGCGCGAAGCGGGCGCGGCTCTGTGTGGATGGTAGCCTCAGAGGTTCCAGTCTGCCGTCCACACTACAGGAGCCAAGATGGGAGGGGGTTAGGGAAGGGGGGAGGGGGAGGAGGTGCATCCCGTATTCCAGTAGTCCGGCGGGGGAACTAGGAAGTCTTTCCCCCACGCGTTGAGGAGGGCTCGCTTGCGGGCAACCGCCGCTGGGGTTGATTGAGAACTCGACGATCCCGCGACCCCGGCACTATGGCGACGAGGAGGAATATTGTAGAATTTTTTGTGAGTAGGAGTCGCACAGTACCCGTCCATCCAACCCATGAGACCTTTTGCCTGCGTAAAAAAAAGGTACCAATCATAAACGTGCCTGTATATCATGTTTAAGTTCTCTACCTAGTTAAATTAGTGCATCCACTTAATGGGGAATAGATCCATTATTTAATCCTATTATGTACTTATACAATTCAATATAAAAATGAGAATAAAACGGATAGAACATGTGTATTTGTCAGAGGAAATATAACAGGCCTCATAGACAAGTATGGGTTAATGTGGCGCGATTTGGGACAAGAAGCCTGACGAAGTGGTGTCATGAGTCGAACGAGCCGCCGCCCGACTGTGACACATGGCCCGGCCATAACATTATTATGACGAGAGATTTCTTCATTTTGCCCTTTTTGCCGTTGGGATAGCTGTTATCTATCATGCCTTGTGTAATCTAGTTGAGCTATAATCCTGGTTGTTTTATGGGTTGGTTTTTAATGATATTATTTTTTGTTCTTACCCTTTACATTTATATAACATTTTGTTAAAGATGTACTTGGCTGCTTTTTAGTATGAGTAACGTATTATCCATCGTAGCTAACACTGGAAAGTAAAGTAAAACTGAAAGTTATTTCAATACTAGTTTATATAGATATCATAACATTTAGCAGAGATTGATGTATGCGAAGATTTTATTTCGTCCAACCATTAGGTATATATATGTCGCTGTTCGCTACAATTTATCAGTGATTTGTAGATGAAATTACCCCGAAAGCAGCTTTAAATAAGTGCTCTGAATCCAAATACCTTTCTATTTTGTAACTACGTTTGCAGTTATATAAATAATCTTTATTATACTACGATTTATAAAATTGTTCAAGGTTCTTTTCTTAATAAATGTCGGTTAGGTACTGCTACATTTGCTACTTACAGTCACATTCAATGTAAATTGCATGGCGAGAGCTATGCAATTTACCGAGACAAAGGTTGACAGATGTCAGCGGACGTTCTCAGTTCGGTAGAGATATTCAATCTGATTTTATATAAACAAAATGATGTAATTTTGACGCTCGAAACTTCTGTAATTAATAATTTGGAAAATATTCTTGGTAGCGCATCTATCATTGGCTATGTTTTAACCAGGAGTTAACCATCATGGTTTGCTGGAGAGAACCTATGGAGGTTGACCTCATAGGATTTAATCACATTACTGATATGTATTATTAAATATTGTTATTATTACTACTAATTACTACTAACAAATTACTACTACCAATCTCTTACCTCCCAATTTGTGTATATTGAGAAATTGAAGAAGTTTCTGAATATCTCTTCCAGTTTATTTCCTGTTTGACTTTTTTGCCCCTAAAACAAAACATGATAGTCTTAAATAGCACCTAAACTTAAAATAAGTGTTAATTGCGTGAGTGGAACGATCCGCGAATACGTAAGCTCATATAGCTGTGCAGAATAATGAAAATATGGAAGTCTAGCATTTTACCTTCTTCCTTCGAACCCGAGATATTCAGGCAAAGCGCGAAATAATGGCGAAACGATATTTTGCTGGTCACCACGATCAATATTGTAAACGCGAAATAAATCTATTCTGCTGTCTAATTTGCAATTTTGAGAGTTAGAGTCGTACGTCCTCTATTATTATCTATATGAAACTAATATATAGCATATACTTGATTTGAGAATAATAAATGTAGTCTAATTTCGAAGAAAGGGATCCTGAAATATGCACACTCGTATCGTACTGTCATGTAAATGATTCGCCCACAGACTATAAAGCAACTTCACTATAAGGGTTCTTTGAGTAATACGATTAGGGCAGTTCACTTCAGAAATCTTAAGATACAATAAATTACTGTCGTACTGCTCAGCAGTGGTTGTTATAGAAGTGGCTGTCGGAGTTTCTTTTAGAAGTCATGTTAAAGTGCTAACGTAATGATTTCTTATAGGTACATGTCACCGCTTTTAGACTGTTGTGTCATAAAGCGATAATATGTACCTATAGGTACAAGTAAGTAAAACGTAGTAGTCTATAAAATTAATTATTAATTAATATTAGTCGTAAATATTAATAACTAAATCTTAATATCGTTTATTTATAGTAATTATTTAAAAATACCAAAATCGCAGTTGTCCCTCGAATCATGTTACGTGTATTATATTGTGACTAAATAATCAAAAGACAGAATTTCTACGACAGATCTCTCGTAACATAACGGACAAAGAACAACTTTCAAATTAAATGGAGCATTTTAAAATTTTTTAGTAAAAAAAAGTTGTAGATAAAAGCTTTTTAAGCCCATATGGAATTACTTTTTTGTTCGTAATTTTCATACTAACTACATTACTATTATAAGTAATTAGCTATACCTATCCACGTGATCAGTCCTAATGATACATCATCATCATCATTGCCTTGCCTAGGTATAATATAGGTATATCTATGCTTATATAAAATATTTGACATTTTAATTAATAGATAGCTATTTTGATAGTAATGACTTTATAATAAGAACAGATGACATTATATTACATAAATAATAATAATAATAATGAAAATGATATAACACCAGTCACACCAGGCACACAATAAGTACACACACACTCACGCATACATACGCGCGCACACACACATACACACGCTCTGCACTTACTTGGTTTCGGTCCGTAAGTGTGGAGAAAACCAGCAATAGCTGAGAAAAAATAAAGAATAATAATAATAATCTTTATTTGTCTCAAACAGAAACTTTTTACATAATACAACTATTGACCATAGAATAATATAATTTAAAAACTAATTAATGAGACAAAACGGTCTATAACTCAGTGAGGGCAGTGAGTCCACCCTCTCTGCTATTCTGTTATAGCCTTTATCAGTAAAATAAAATGTGAGGTCGACGACGACGATAGCATATTAAGTTTTAAACTACAACTAACAAAGTAAAAATAAAAATTGACAATAACAAACTTAAATATATATAATCTAAACATTATTATATAAGTAAGTAATAAATTAGTAGATACAATATAAATAAATAAGTAACTGTGATATAGGTAGATATACGACTATTACGAAAATATGACATGTAGTGAAATGTTTTTGTTTATATCCGTTTTTCCTTAGGGATGAAATCCTAATGACAAGTTTAGGGACAAAACAACGCTGTGGGCCCTCACAAGGTGAACGATGCGTACAACAAACATCGTCACCAGGGAATTTGCATGAATTATGTATGGACGAGTAGGTAGACAGGCGTATTTGATACGATGGTACCAGATACCTTTAGCCATTGCTTCCGGCTGTTTCTACTAACACTACTAACAACATATTACAAGTTTCTTGTATACTGTGTTAAAATTGGGTTTATATTGAATAGTTGGACCGTTACAGGCGTTATTTATATAGGTATAAATATATATAAAGCGACTAAATTTAATTAAAGCTTTATCTATAAATTGTTGAATTATCTCTCAGAATATGTTATGTATATTTGTAACTTGTTTTATGTATATATAGAAATCCAATGAACAAATACTTATACATAAACAAGGGAAGGAATTTGTTAGTAATGTAGACTGATGAACCCATTGCTAGCAATGTCAAGTTGACTCCACGCGGTTCCCCTTGAAAACTATCGCGATAAATTTCTCGTGAATTTGC